GTCAGAATCATGCCAGGACACCTCTTTTTCCTAACCCTAACCCTACCCTGGTCACACCCCTAACCCTAATTTATGGGTGAGCTTCCATTCAAAAAAGAGCACATCCTAGCAGACTTTTGAATTCTGTCCTGATGGAGATACACTTGGGTCTGACATCATATTCTTCTCAGTGGCATCTTCAAACATTTTTATTTGCCCATGTATTTAAATTGTCGTATTTGCAGGAGGGTGAAGAGTTACTCCCTTCAGTTTCTTGTAGATGTTAACTATGTGTTTTTAACTATATTGCACATTTTAACTTTTTATATAGTCCACCTAAGGTCCATGGTTTGGAGTGGCAGTGTGACTTATAAAGTCTGAAAATTAAGAAATAATAGTGTAATGTTATCTGCAAATGTATAATAGATACTGTGTACACATTGTACCATGCTAAACTGTTCTCATTTTTCCCTCATGAGAACCAAGTGGATAGCATAGCCACATCCATATTTGACTCTGCCACAATTATTCTGTGTTTTGTTCTTCCAACCTGCCTGCTTTCTAATGTATTTCTCTATAAGATTACATTATTTCCCACCCTTCCTCAAGTAAGCTCACAGGGAGCTCTCTCTTGGTGTTCTTTTGGGCCTCGGAACTTTTGAGTTAAGCATGTATTTATTTCATTTCTAGAAGGAAAAAATATCCAAACAAATTAAACATATTTTAAACAACAGATAATGAACTGTACACTTGTAAAACATTGGAGGATGGCAAATTTCCTCCTGCCCTTGGATATTCATATACATTTTTAAATTCTCAGCAAAACGGCCATCTCAACCTGGTATGAAAAGATGACAAGGTTAATGCCAGGTAGGCCTCCATTAGGGGCCCCCATGAGAAAATCCTTCCATTTGTTGCTGTCCTCCAAACCTCCCTCAGAGTTAGTACTCAGCGGAGAACCCTGGATGTTGAATGCAGAGTCTGAGTAGGTTACGGCTGAGGGAGGTGATCTGTCAAGGTTAGGCTCAGGGATAGTTGTTAACTCTAGAAGACCCACTGAAGTTTCAAATCTTATCAAGATTACAAGCACAAAGATGATCTGGAGCCAAGTTTAGAAGTAGCCAGATGGACAATGTGGTAAACCAGGAGCAGAAACCCAAAATAAAGAAATGTTTGAGTGGCTGCATTCACACAACATGGCAAGCAACCCTGTGAGGTTACCATGGACCTACCTGACAGACAATAAAGTAGTTTCGACTTTATTGTGGTTTCCATCGTCCCTGCTCAGTACTCACACAGGTGGTATGTATCCCATCAGGCACTGTACCTGAAATTCATTCCCAAGATGCATCACTCCCTGCCTATGTCATCTCCCTTTTCCTCATTGGTCCACAAATAGAGACTGGATGACTGGAGCAGCCCTTGTGGTTGCTGCTGTTTCCAGAAGAGTCTATTGTAGTTGCATACCAGGACCATGGAAACCATGATCCTGGGTTCAGACAACACAAAAGCTAAGATGGTTTGGAGAAACCATAGAAAAACCATTGTTTCTTATTGTGGTTTCTAAAGACCCAAACTTGCCATGATGGAATACCATGGGTGGGTTCAGGCAAAATGATATAGCAACAATGGTACACACACATACACACACGCACATACACTGTGGCTTGTTCTGTTGTCTGAACCCAGCCAGTGAGAAGGAAGTTTATCACAATGCCAGGTAAATGGTTGCTAAGGCCCTGGTCACCAGGAAGCATCCACTCTTGGGAGCTCATAAGAACAGCTAGCCAGACAGGCCTGTAAGGGCCTCTGCTGATGAAGTCTGAATGTCTGAATCTGGTAAGCACAGCAGATATTCACTATAATCTATGTTGATGAATAATGTAGGTACTCTGTGACAGAGAAAGATCTATTAATGATCAATGGACTCATTCTTCAGAGGATTTTGAAAACCATACAGATCATTTAGGCCATTGAATGGCAACTTGTGACCTTCTAGAGTTTTTGGCCTACACCTTCCATTGGGCAAAAGTTGCTCACTGCAATTTGGACAATCAGTTTACAAAAGCAATGGGGCAGCAATCCAATATCCACTTTGATTCATATCTTGCTTGTTCTAATAGGATCTGAGAGGATATACATGCTTCATTAATTCTGCTGTGATAACAATCCTGTGAAGGTTAGAGATACTGAATAGGAATTTGAATATGGGCCTCCCTGGCCCTGATTTAATAATTGGACAAGCCATTGTCAGGGCCCTAGCTGCTACATTGTTTATGCATTACCTTTTCAAAAATCACAGCAGGTCTCAGCATCACTGCCTTGAGGGCTTAACACTTTACTTCTCATCCATTAGTCAGTTGCCCATTTGATCATGAAATAATTTGAAATGGCCCAGGTTGGCAAGCAACTGACCCTGTGCGATCCATGCTTCCTATAATACAACCAAATGTTGCGTCCTGATGGTGACCTTGCTGTGAAGAAACAAGTACTTTAGTAGTACTTTAAAAAAATCAGCTTGCCAGATCGTTTGGGCACTTCTTTTCTTGAAGCTTCTCCTTAATGCCATCAAGTCCCCTCCAATTTATGGTGACCCTATGACTGAAAGCGCTCCAAAATTACTCATCCATGACAGCCCTGCTCAGCTTCCTAAATGCAATGTTGTGGCTTCTTTTATGGAATAAATGCATCTCATTGCTTGTCTCTTCTTCTTCTTCTGCCTTTGCCTTTCTCTAGCTTTCTATTGATTGCCTTCTCCACTGAGTCTTGCTCTCCCATGATTTGTCCTATGACAGCCTCAGTTTGTTATTGTTGTTTCTAGGGAAAATCCTGGCTAGATTTTCTCTACATCCATTAGTCAATTGCACAAAACACATTTGCTGCTCTTTTGATAAAAATATAAGCATTTTAAAATGCCATCCAGAAGAGCAGCTGGATTTAATCACATGTACAGCCCACCTAGTGCAAGTGTGTTGAGACAAAGGTTGTTTGCAGATGGTGTAGGGAATTGTGCTAAGGGAACTGGACCTTGGGGACAACATCAAGACCAAGAGCCCAGGTCCCTTTCTCCCAATGATGACCCAGAGGGTAGCACTTGCTCAGGGCAGCATAAGCAAAATCCACATTATTTATGCGGTTGGGCTGGTGCTAGGATTTGTGCATTCAAATTGCAAAACTGCGCCTGCTCAGGCTTTTAAAGAGCACGGCTGGGAAATGGTTTTGCCGTTTTTGTTCCACCGTCTTAGGAACGCAGAAACAGTTTTAAAGTATGGAATTGCAGTTAGAGAAGGAAAGAGAAATGCTAGTTGCGATCCTGACAACTGAAGCAACACCCCTGGCCATCAGAAAAGTCCCTCCCTCCACCCTCGACCATTAAGTCCAAGGTCTAACATCAGCGCGCTTTTAACAGGAATAATCTCAATCCACGTAAACACGCCAGGGGCAAAAAGTGCCACACACACACTCCACTTCCGCGAGTGCAAAAGACACGGCATCTATTCGGCGAGGGACTTAAGCCCCGCCCACGACTCTTCCCCCTCCCTCGACCAGTCGCGGCCAAGCCCCGCCCCTAACGTCACTGGCCCTCAGAGTGCCGTTCCACAAGGTGGCTGCAAAAAGAGGAGGGCGGGGAGGCCAGGTCACGTGACGGTTCCAATATGGCGGCGCCGTGTCGCTGTCCATCCCCTCCTTTAAGGCAGTCGCGTTTCTTCCGGATCATGGAGCCCATCTGCTCCCGGAGCCCTTGAGAGTGCCGTTTCCCGCCCCGCTTTGGACAGACCGGGACGCGGGCCTTCACGGCGCGACGGCCATGCAGCCCCCTGCCCGCGAGGAGGACACCCGCACCAAGAGCATGTTCGTGTCTCGGGCCTTGGAGAAGATCCTCTCCGAGAAGGAGGCGAAGCGGCCCCCTCACGGGCAGCTGCGGACAGCCTGCCAGGTGGCGCTCGGTGAGTGAGGGAGGCGGGGAGGCCCTGGGACGGCTCCAGCAGGTCCAGAGAATCCTTTTCTTCCCCACCCTCGAGCCTCCTAGGTTCGGAGTCCCGCAGACACCGCTCAGGGGAGCTTGTCAAATGTCTGTGGCAAAACTGGGGAGGGTTGACGCCTGCATTCGCAGCCAACCCACCCTGGCCAAACGTTCATTATGCTGCGCCTAGACCACGTCAGACTGCTGAGGGGCAAAGTGGTACCCCTAAGCTCCACTTTCGTTTACAGGGGAAAAAAGAGGGGAGCCCTGAAATGCAGAAATGGACCCCCCTTTCTTAACTGGCATACCGCCTCTTATATTTCCTCCCTTTCTTCTCCAGTAGCATTACATCGATGCTTACACTCCTAGCCATTTACCAGCTTCCCTAAAATCTAAACATCCTCAATCTTATGCATGTTTTCTTAGAAATAAGTTCAGCAGAATTCCCTCCAGTTTTATCTGTCCCTGCATGAAGCTGAGTTCAGGACCCTGCAACTGCATTCTATAGACTTCATAATTATTTCCCTTTCTCCTTTACTTTTATGGAGTGTGATCTTAGGAACTTTCAGGCCATGGGCTGTCAGTTTCTTCCCTCCTCACCTTAGGCTAGTCTGAGGATTCAGTGTCTGTAGGAGTTCTGTCAAATCTCCTTGATTTTTCCTGCTCTCTTTGTGCATGTAGATACAGATAAATAGGTCAAGAAACAAAGTAAGAAATTAGTGTGGTTGCTGACAGGATTTCTTATCAAATACTGCTCAGTAAATTAACCTGCCACGTTGCTTCCTCCCATGTTGATGAATAGGTGACAAAGTTCTTCTAGAAGGATGTTTCATAATTAATTATTTGATCAGGTTCGGTTGCCAAGGGAATAGTTTATCTTTGAGAAAGAGGGAACAAGGTTAGCCTTGCTTATCTGATTGATTTTTTGGAGATAGGTGGGAACTGTATTACTTAACTGGTGATCAAATGGGTGATAGAATCATATAATAGTAGAGTTGGAAAAGCCCATTGTACTGTTCATTTGTCCCAAATTGTTTTGATGAATCCAGTAATATTTTTCTTGGTCTTTTTTGACAAAATGTCTGTTGTTAAAAAAAAGAACATGAATTTTACAAAATTTATTTATTTTATTTATTTATTTATAATTTTTGTATGCCGTCCCCTTGCTATATAGCTTCGGGACGGCTCACATAAATAAACATAATACAAATACAGTTAAAAATAAAAAAATACTGCCTTACTAAAAAATGTGGTGGTTAGGGAGGAAGGAGAAAGAAGAAATGTTTCTTGGAATTATCTAATGAATGTGTCCTTTAAAAAAGTTACGGAACTTCACCAGATTCTCTGCTTTAGCTGTAAATCTTTTTCTGTGTTCATGTTTGCAGTAAGACCTAATCTAAATGGCAATCTGACAGACTTCTCAGTTAAAATGTATTGTGTGTGTGTGCCAAACAAACTGGACACTGAGACTTGTTTTGGTCAATTTGGATGCTGTTTAGAGCAGTTTCTCAATTAAAAAACAAAAACAAGTTTTACCATGTAGCTAATGTTCAGTTTAGAGCCTTGGCATATACTTAATGCTGGGATCCTCACTGGAACTTACTTCTGAGTAGCTAAACATAAGGTTGTGTTTCAATGTGTTTGTCAAGCCATAAATAATGATATGTATTTCTTTCTGTATTCATGTGTCCCATTTGTAAAATGGGGATTATCATAAGCAGTCATCTCATCTCCAAATTGTGGTGACCCTATGAATACCCTCCATAGTGCCCTAACCTTGATATCCTGTTTAGCTTCTGTAAACTCAGCTATGGCTTTCGTTTTTGAAGTCAGTCCAGCTCAAAGTTGGTCTTCCTCTTCTTTTGCCTTCAACTTTCCCCAGTATGATTGTCTTCTCCATTGAGACTTGCCCTTCTCATGATGTTCCAGAAGTATGACAGCTTCAGTTTTGTCATTTTTGCTTCCAGCACAAGTTCTGGCTTGATTTGATCTAAGACCCTCTTGTCTAACTTTCTTTCAGTCTAGGTTACTCAAAAAGCTCTCTTCCAGCACCATGTTGGAAATGCATCAATTTTCTTCCTGTCAGCTTTCTTCACTGTCCACCTTTTACACACATACATAGTGCTCAGGAATACTATAGTGTGGATGATCTTGGCCTTGATCTCCAGGACCTTGATCTCTAAACCCTGTAATGAAACAATCCAAAATAAAAAATAAATATTAGGCAAGTTCAGTACAATCAACAATAAAGATATTTTATAGTATCCTGTGTGTAGGATGATCTACATAGAGCAGCCAGGAATATTAGTTACAGTATAATAACTCTCTATTGATAGGATATTAGAATTTTCCCTCTGGGAGGTGAAAGTGAAGGTCGACCTGAAATCATGCATATAAGTTCAGAAAGGTCTTGGTATGTTAAGAGGTAGATAGAAATAAGGCATGAAATCACTTCAGTGAAGATATGGCATATTTGCAAAAGAGGGTTGGGCCATAGTTTCATAGAACTTTCAAAGGTGGTGACAAGAAACTTAAAGTATATGCAAAGCAGGAACAAAGAATGCGAGAGCAACTGAAGACATTTCTGTGTGATCAGCTTCTACCATTTGTCAACTGGCTAAGCTCTTGTGCTGATTTCACATCACATGTAAAAAATAAAATATAACTGATGGTATGCCCGTGATTGTGCATTTAGACATTGGTCACTTCATGATCAGTCACTTCATTATTTTCATGTTTATTGAATACCCACTTGGCATAAAAATAATTCTCTGGTGGATTGGCTAATTGATGGTGTTCCCTTGAACTTAATGCAGCTCATTGAGAATTGAGCAATCCATGTTGCAGTCTTTTCCTTCCAGTAATTCTTAGTAGTGCACTATATTTTAAATATCTTTTAATGGAATTCTGATTGCTGTCCTATTCTACAAATAGAGCATTGCAAATTTATATGTTAATGACTCCTTCTGGTTACACTGAGGAATGCTGATTGCAAATGGCTGTCTGACACAGCAAGCAGGGCAAGACTGTAATTGCAGTGAAGGAGCCTCACCAGTCATTAAGGCTGTAATCCTATGCCCACTTACATGGGAGTAAGGCCCATCAAATTTAGTAGAACTTACTTTTGAGTACACACACACAGGATTGTTAAGATACCTGTCATTAGATTTCTCCAGATCATACATGTAATGTCTTGTGCAGTCTTGAAGCTCAAGCTACTGTTCAAGAACTTAATAGTTATCCAAAATTACATTTCTGTAATATTTACAGTTCTTGGAAGGGATTCTAGTGATATTGTTTAAAAACAAATATGTATATGTATTTATTTCTTAAGATCTAAAAATGCCTTTAAAACAGTAAGCAGAATCTTGCTAGTTCATCCACATTTTGGACTTGACTTGTTTTTGTAAACTAAGAGGTTAAACAGTTGTGACTGAAATGTGATCTTTGATCAAATAAGAAAGTAATATACCATAGTATCAGAGAATAGGGGTTACTACTGTTCTATAGTTTTTCATGTAAAAAATGCATAACTTTTTAGTATTGGGTGTTCCTTGAAAACATTTTTAATATTGAGATGCCTTGCAAAGGCAGGATATGAATGTAACGAAATCATAATTCTTATTTGAATTACTCAAGATATATATATATATATATAAAATTATTTGACCTGGCTGCATCCGTATGGTTTTGTTCTGCTGTACTAAGAGAAATTCTTCCTGCTTATGGTTTAAGAATTACATGTTTCTCAGGCTACAATATTATCTGCAGTGTTGTAGATACAAGGAAAAAGGTAAAACTTTAGAGGAAGCTTGCTAAAATTGTGTGTGGTGAGCTGTTTTTTTACAATCCCCTTGTACTTACCATATAATGAATTGTGATGTTATTCCATTAAAGAACACATGTTTATATATTCATCCTAGTTCTGCAGCTTCCCAGTAGTGAATGAAACTTAATGCGAGAGAGAAGTGCTTATCTGAAAGCATTTGTTCAAATCCTCACTTAGAATGTCTGGACCTGGAACTACAAAATGTTTTTATTTTTAGAACTAGCCTCTTGCATTTACATAAGAAATGGGAGGCTTTGCTTTCTTATAAGGGTTCTCTACATGAGGCATTTATTGTGCTTTATTGATTCATCACCCATGATAGTTTATGGGTTCTTTACACAATGTCACCCTCCAGGGCTTCTTCTATGCTTTCTGAGCATTTCTGGTGCTGTTCTTCAGAATGAGGACAATGAACTATTAAAGGGATAGATGCTAAAAATGTTTGTGGGTTTTTTTTGCTCTTTTGCTATATCGCACTGCCACCATGTGGTTGTGTAAGGAAACATAAAGAAAGGCAGAAAACAAAAATTTTGGGGTACATGTGTAAAGCAGCCAGTCTTACTCCTGCAAAGAATTTAGAAACAGAAGTTCTGGTAAAATGGTGGGTTAAAACATGTTTATAAACCTAATCAGTAATTCTGCAGAACTTCTAATTATGCCAATTAACTGTTGGTACTGTGGCACAACAGCTATTTCTGCATGTGTGTGTGTTGTGGAAATTTGCCAATACATTTATTAACATTTGGGAATGGATAATAAGCCTCCTGTTCTACCCAGTAACTTTGCCATATAGCGGTAGTCATCATTATTTTTCATGTAAGAGACACTTTGGTTCTACACAGAACTGCCAAGGCCACTTGGGTCTTCTGGTCAAACAGTGATGTGCAGCATACTTGATTGGAAGCATTTCCATCTGACGCCTTCCACATCATCCAAGCAAGGCCTCATCTGTTAGTCAGCAAGTGAGCAAATTCCAACAGGCTCACATGCTCTTTGGATATGGGTGGCTCTTTTTCTATGCAACACTGAGAAAGTGTTCTGCTTTACTCAGAATTGCAGAATCTCTTAGCACAGGGTCACATTGCTCTTTCTCTTGCTTTTCATGTTAAACTCCCCTCCAGCATCTGTGAAGTGCATTATCGCAGCTAGCCATTGTTAGCTAGTCAACATTGTTCTTTGAATCTTTGGTTTCTCCCTCCCTGCCTCCCCCCACCCACTAATTGGCTGATTGTTCCTGCATTCTACTCTCTTGCCAGCTTACAGCTGACAAATAGCAGGTCTCTTGACTCCCTGCCACCTGTGTCTCCAGATCACAGCAGCTGTCCCACCCACTAAAACAAACAGGCCAGAGCAAGGTAGACTCTGCAGAGAGGAAGCAAGTGAGTGAGCAGCCTCCACAAAGAGACGGTGAAAGAGAGAGGTAGAGAGGCATACTGCATATTATTGGGAACAACCAGTGGTCCTTGGGCCCCACAATAGGAATGCCTCCCTTTAGTGTTCATTATTACAGTTTTTCACAAATCCATTTCATTTCCCTCCAGTCGCTTTTCCACTCCAATGTATTAAATGCTTTTAGGCACCATGCAGTAGAATGACACCATGTAAAATTGGTATTGAACAGACTCTTAAACAGCTATGCTGTTTATTTCAAGGCAGTTTCTGCTGATGACACAATCAGTTTAGAACTTCGAAAGGCAGAGTGAGAAGTCAGTATAGAGTTGAAGAAAAAGTAGGCTATAGAAAAAATGTTAAGGTATCTTGCATCCCCTTCTTTCCTCATGGGATTTCCATTATGGTGCAATCAGCAGTTGTGTGTGTTTTGATTAGGAAAGTGTCATGGAGAAGAATAATAATGAAAAACCACCCTACTGTTGAAACAAACTGGCAATCCCCACAGAAGCATTGCAGTTAGAATCTGGAGAGGTTAATCAGTTTTCATGCAGAATGTGCAATTGGTCCTAGCATTGGCTCATTCTTCCTGATGAATAAAAATTTTGGTATAATTCACAAGTTCATTCACTTTGCTCATCTGTGAATTTGACATATGTTATCATCTGCCCTCAATGCACTTCTGAAACTGGACAGTCTTCATGCAAGATAAATAAAAATCAGCTGGCAGAGACTCGAAATCAGAAATAGTCTCCCATTGGTTGTTGAATATTGCTATGTCAGCCTTTCAGAACACCCTGCTACTGGCCTTAAGGTGGCTATTACCAAAGGAAGAAACTTCAAAGGTAGACTGCAGTGTGAAACCACTGAATTAAAATGGAACCACTTGCTAAACGGTATCATCCATCCCTTGATCTGGATGACAGGTTTCATCACACTGTATATCTCACCAGTGCAAGCTTTGTGAATGGACATTGTGTAGCTTAAAGCAACTGTCATGTTCTGTTTGTTCTGTATTTAAATTGACCTCACTCAGTCCCCCTGTCTTAACTTTAGGATAGCGCTCCATGCTATCTATCTCCATTGCTTATGCTGCAATAAATACGTTAGAGTTTCAGATGCTGCAGGAATTGTTCTAGCTACAAGAATCTAACATGGTAACCACTGTGGAAACAAGTTTCTTGTTGAAGCTGAGGTTAGCAGGAAAAGGCATTGTGTACTAGTATTTAAAATAGAATAAGTTGTGCTGCAGTGTATCAAAACATTCTGAAATCCACAGTCAGATAATACCAAATAAGCATGTAGAAAATTGTGCATGAGCTATTGAGATATTTGGTGTTCAAATATCTTTGATCGAACCAGCTGTTACAAAAAGCAAGGCATGGAGAGAGGGGAGGGGGAAAGGGGCATTTGGTTTTGACAAAATGAAGTCTGCACAGTCAGAATCTCAAGCTAGAATGGGGAGACACAGTCTTAAATGGATGAAGCTTTACCTGGTGTCAGGTAAGTTTCAGCTTACACATATGACTGATAGCAGAAAAGGGCAAAATGGCTGTTTGCTTTTCAAATCTAAAATCAAGTTGAAGCGTGTGTATATGTGTATATAAAAGACAGTTGAAACATGGAAGAAGCTAGTGGATCTTGTGCAATGCCTTCCTCACTCTGGCAGAGATGGTTTCCTCCAGGCTGGCAGTATTTTCTTGTCTGGTTTGAGTCCTGACATAAGTGTAACGGTGTTATCTCTTGTGAAATTGCTTGTTCAGGGTTTTTTTTAAGGCTTCCCAGAGTTGGAAATTTAATGCCACATCATCAGTAACTACAAATAAACAGTCAGAATACACTTCTGGAAGCTGACAATTAATAGTGTTGTTTTAGAAATAGAACAGCTGCCACACAAAGAAAGTGTTTACACACCATCACAGCTGTCCCTGGCAGTAAGCTTCCACCTTTTCCCCACTTCCACAAGCCTCTAGGTATCCCTGAAAGGGGAGATCTACAGCCCGTTTCCTTCTCATGAGAAATGTTTTGGACTGCTGTCAAAAGAAAGAGCTTTTCTCTCCAGACCTATCTTGCAAATGTGAGCATTTTTAATGAACAGGGAAATACATGCAGATTTTGTGGCTGAGAAGTAAATGAAGGGGAAATTTGTGTTATTTCCTATCCATTTATTTTCAAGCCATAAAATCTGCATGTATTTCCCTTCCATTTACTTCCTAGCTATAACATTTGTGTATCTTTTCCAATTTTTTAAAAAAAAATGTGCAAAATTTCCAGATAGGTTTAAAAAAAAAACTCTCGGAGATGACAGAGCAGGATCGAACAAACAGAGCTCCAGCAGGTCTTTCCTGCCAGTGTAGCCCCTTCACCTGATCCCATTCAGATACCTTCTCAAAGGTTTTTTTTTATTTTAAGAACTGTCAGGGAACTTCAATACAACATGCTCTGGAAGAGAACCATGAAAAGTGGGATGGTAGCATTTCCCCTTTCTTGAGTAGCAGGTGACCCATGGAAGTCTAAAAAATGTAGAGGGTGCTAAGAATGGTCAGTTCACCACTTGAAGATAAGAGAGTTGCAAGCCTAATGATGGTTTGTTACTGCACTCTCCAAGAAACTTCCAGTACTTATTTAATGCTTTTAAATAAGCTGCAACTAATTTAAGTCAATAGGCTGTATATTTGTTTTGAGCCCACAGAAAAATGCTATCTGCACATCTGAGGCAGGAATACATGTCCACTTACTATGATACAGTATTTAAATTTCAACAGACATTTGAAAGGGGAATGCTGTTAGGTGGACATTGGTCATGAATCACAACAGAGCAAGAAACAGTGTTAAACTCTGACAGTTCAGAAACAAGCTTTGTATAATCTATTTAGAATATATTGGACACAGCAAAAGCTTCCTTGGCCAGCCAGTGCATTATGTTCATTTGTTGGTGTGCTAGAAGAGAAGCTATGAAAGTGCTGATCACTGAAACAACCATGAATACAAGGAGGCTTGAGAACAGAGTTTGTAGGGGCATGATGTAAGAACTTCAGTTCAGCTGCGCGCTAGCACTTAGGGGCTGAATCCTGATGTAGTGATCATAAAACCCTAGGCCCAGAGGCTTACAGTGGTCTTACACAGGCTGGGAGGAGCAATTGACATTGTCTGCCTTTCTTGCCACCCTGCATTTTCACTAGAAGGCATTTGTGCCTATACAGTGAACATATTTTAGAAGGGAAGAGTAGGATGCTGAAGATGCTTCAGGATAGCTTATAGCTGACTTCACTAGCTGTCTCCTTTCTCTCTTCAGCTACTTTTCTGACCTTGGAGAGTGGTCAGTGCAGTTCTTTCTTCACTGGCTAACAAAGGGGAAGGGTCCAAGCTCCAATTCCCAATTCTGAAGTTGGAGCTCTGTCTCTGATGTCAGTTCTGGGAATCCAAAATATTCCCTGGCCCTTTTGACACTCTCCAGGACCCATAGCATTGCTCCCTTAGTCACTTAGTCCTAATGACTGCAAATGGATGGTTGCTGATCCCACCACTGAATTGCATGGCTGCTACACGATGGGCCATCCTGACTGTGTGAGAAACATAGTTAAATTGTTTAAATAGGTAATAAACTTATATAAAACCTAGCAGAAGGACAACTACTTCCACTGTGTTTAAATTGCACTAATGGTCTCTTTAAAATTGCAGCACTTCTAGTAGAGCTCCATACAAAGTTATGGTGGGAGAATGTGAAATTTAGCTTTTGTTACCCTGTATTGTTGCAGGAAATGTAATGCTTGTTTGCTATGAGGCAATGCAGATCTGTGTGATAGTGAATACTGCTTTAACATGTAAGTAACTGGAACTATAAATGCTTTGGTAAAACTGTGTACATTGCTACACTTCTTTCTTGTGAATCTGTTCCAACACTAAAACATACTGCAAGGCTAGATCAGTAAAGCAGAAGCACCTGCTTCAAGGGGTGGATCCAAGCAGCAATGGCCAGCTTCTTCAGTTGGGAGCAAAATACATTTGAGAGACCTGTTCTTGTGTTCTGCATAGGAGGATTGTCATTGTGCTGATTGGAGGCTTCTTCTTTAAAAGTGTAAGAACAGTTACAAGCAATTGGATAATCTTGTGATATGAGAAGCTGGAATACTGCCAAATATTAATAGCTATGCTTTCTAGGAAATACTGAGAGAGGTAAATTTCAGATATCAGTATGATTACTAATCTGGTACTTTTATTAGTAAGGTATCTGGCAAAGTAAATCTATACTGGACCCTTTGCCAATATCTTTCTGTTTTGAGGTGGGATAATATATACACTAGGGGTGACCAAACTGAGGCTCGGGAGCTGCATGCAACTCCTTGAGTTCATTTTGAAGCTTGTTGCTGCAGGTGCCCGTGGGTGGCTGCTTGCCACCTGTCATTGCCTCCTGCAGGTGCCCACATGCAGTTCTCAAACACCTGACGTTTACTGTATGTGGCTCTTCTGTTAAGCAATCTGACCACTCCTGATACATACCATTGTTAGTGTTGCTTATATCCGTCCCTAAAGTTGTAGGCTTCTGTCAACTATCAGCATCTATGTGTGGTATAAATCTGCAACATAAAGCATCTGTTGTTTGTTTTCCCTCCAGATGAAATAAAAGCAGAACTAGAAAAGCAAAGGTGAGTAACCTCTATAATATGGTGAAAGTGAACCTGAGTTCACAATATCTGGCATGCAAGTTTCTTTATTGGCATAGTTTGATTATAAATGTTTTTCTGTATTTTAATTCTTTTTTTGTTTTTATTGACCATCCCTTGGTAATTTTGTTAAGTATAATGTGCTATATAAATTCTGTAAATAAATAAAAGAGCATATAGCCCTATACATGGAAAAGCATCTTGACACTGTTTATCTAAAGCACTTCATCTTACAGACATAAACTGTCACAGATGCGTGACCATGGCCTTCTATCAGCAGCATGCTTTCTTCTAGATCCATGGGTTTCATGCTTGCCTCTTGGCAGTTACTGAGCAGCATGTACAAAATAATAATTATAATCTTGGATGTTGTAGCAACATCCAATGCTTTCCTGAATAAAGTTAGTTGCAGTTGTCTTTCTCAGACAATGGGAGAGTCAAGAAAGTTTGTGCAAATTTAAACAATTCTTCTAGTTATGAATCGTCTTTGTAAAACTGTGGGTATATTTGGTTACAAGTAATGACTTTGCGTGTTCCTCATAGATGTGGTTTTACAGCTTCCTTTCAACTGGATTTTTCTTTCTGAATTTATTACTTGACCATTAATTTGGAAACAGAAAAGCTTAGCTTCCTTCTTTTTAGTCAATTTACATATCAGCTGTAATACATAAGCTTAACAGATAGCAATCAGTATGGCTACTTAAACACAGTTATAATCTGTTGGCCTTTAGGATTATCAGTTCTTAAAATGCGTTTTGCTGTAGTGTTTTCTGCCTCTTTTTCCTTAATGAGATGCCATGACTGGTACAAAGACAGGCTGACAATATTTTATGAATATGAAAATGAATGAAAGTTGTCTGCATTATTCTGCTGTGCAAGTTTCTATTGGTCCTTTTCCACATTGGATTTCTGTTGCAGTGTTTTTTTCTGTTTGTACTAACACTCTACCACCAAATCTAAACACTAGCTGAGAATGTGATGTGAATGCTGATTCATTTGTCTTTGCCCAAAGGTAATATAATCATAGACTAGAGGTAGCTTGAAATGTTGTCACTTTTATTTGCACTTTTTCAGAAAATACTGTTGTTTGTACTCTATTTTGTCATAGGTAGTTGAGTCTCTTATTTTAGGCATTATTCCCTTATTTTATTATTTTATTACTCTTATTCCCTTATTTTAGGCATTGAATTATTCCAGTGTTCCATAACCATAGGGTGAGTTCACACAACATGTCAATTCACCTTGGCCATAAGCCATAGTAAGTTGGTTGTTTTGTGAAGTACTCACAATGAGACCAACAGATGGTCTTGTTTATCATGGATACTTTGTTCTCTCTCTCCCCTTGCATCCTCCTAGGAAACACCACAAGGAAGAATGAGTTTGCTCTCTCTGGCAGCCACAGTCATGACCATCCTTAGAGAGTCCCCACTGCTCTGACATGCAGTGGGAAGATGCTCCTTGCACATTGCCCCAGCCAAGGCTGGAAGTTGACCTCTTTGCACTTCAGGATGGGCAGCACTGCTGCATGGTTTATGCCTCCTGCCTGAGAGTCTATTCTTGGGCAGCAGTTTGGGGAGGCTGATCTGCCTGGCAACACTGCCTCCTCCACAAAGCGGCACTGCTGAGCAGATTGAGCATCCCACTTCCTCTGGTCTGAAAGTAGACATTTCAGGCAGGAGGCAGGGTGTGCCCAGCCCACTTCCTGTTGCTGCCCTGAGTGGAACAGCAGCATGGATTGCCTGCTCCTGTATTGTGGCCATTGGTACCAGCAGCTGCTAGCTGCTAGCAGGGATATCTATTCCTCTTTGCTGAGGTGGGCTATGCCCTCTTGTCAAGGAGGAGCAAATCCCAACCACCCTTGCCAATGACTGGAGAGGTCTGCTCCTGAGCCACCAGGAAGGATAGCCACTTTCCACCATGGAGAAAGCTTCTGACAGCACCCCTTAAGTGCTGCTTATACCTTTTGGAGACTGCAGTCAGCAGCACCTATACGACAGCTGCTTGTCAAAAGGCAAGGGATTCATACCTTTCCTTTCAAGTGGCTTGCTGGCTGTCAGGGCTCACCCTCACCATGGGTGAGGACAACCTTAGAACACCCCGTGGGCTCTACAGCTACCCATGAAGGAAGGAGTCCTGTTTGCCCAGCATGACAGTCAGTCTATGATAACAAAGGTGGTTTGACATGTTCTCCAAACCAGCTCATATTGTGGAAAATAGTTCTTAGGGAGGTTGGTGATTGGTCTTGTAGTGGGACATATTTAACACTTTAACTCCTGAAATGTAATAATTATAGAGCTAAAAATTAAAAATACTTAAGGATGCCAGCCTATGCATGTTTAGGCTGAAAAAGTCCTACAACTTCCAGAATTCCCCAGTTAACCATACATAGGATTGCATCCTAAATTTATGATCTTTTAAGTCAAAAGGGAGGAAATGCTACGGTGAGCTGGCTCACCTGTTAGAATTTCTACACTTACATAAAACATAAAATTCATCATGAAGAAAGATTTTACATTTGTTTTTGACTGGGCCATTCATTCTTCAAGCTACAATCTCGAAGTCCATGGATACAGAAATGACTTTCAGTGTAGTGTTTCATCACTTGAGGAACTATTTGGGCAGGTGGGGTTGGGTTAAACCGTTTGTCATCTTGTGCAAGTGAGACTGGCAGTCAACTGCTGTTAGAGACCATAGAGAGAGCTTCTGCATTTCTGTGCTGATTTTTGAGAAGCATGGACATAGGGGATTTTATCCCTAGGCTTCAGTACTTCACATGTCTGCTGAAGTATTTACTCCCAGGCAGGTATGGAAGACAGCAGCCTTTCAGGTTGCAAAGTATTTTTTCTTTAAAAAGCAAAACTTCAGTGTGCCACTCTTGTCTTGAAGTTAGTGTAGCATTTTGAAGAGAGCCAGGAGTTTTGTCATTTTCCATGTCTGAAAAACATGTGGAATTGACTTTTATTTTACATTCACTCTGTGGACAAGAAGTTTATGCGAAAATGATCTGCCCGCTGGTAACTGCAAAGTGTTTTTGTTTTCAATTTTCTGACTAGCCAAGGCAATGAAACCACACCAAAAGCAAACTTCATTGAAGCAGATAAATATTTCCTCCCATTTGAGTTGGCTTGCCAGTCAAAGTCCCCAAGAATTGTCAGCACCTCATTGGACTGCTTACAGGTATTTTATGTAAACTAAGCCTTTGTCAATTTGGGGTTATTGTTTTTAAAAACTGTGTGCTCTGCATCTTGTAGAACTGTCCATTCGTGCATGTCTCTGTCGTTGGAGTTTTAAGGGAATGGGGAAACTGCTTGCTTTAGCTTTGTAAGAACTTTATCCTTTCCCACATGCACTTCTTTAGGGTAAGGACTTCTAATGCAGCTTTTGAGTCACAAGCAGATAGGGATTTTTGGCTAGAGGGTCAGAATTATTATTTGGGTTTTCTCAATTCCTTCCATAACCAGTTTCAGCCCATTTTAAGGTGTTTTTCTTGCTTACCACACAAAGAAACCATTAATTAATGAAACCATTAATAACCATTAATTAATGAGGGTGTCATGGCATTTTAATGATCAAAATGACTGAAGGGTTTAGGACTTGAAAATGATTTTAATGCAAGTTTTTTTTTTTCTTTGCCTAGAAACTCATTGCCTATGGACATATCACTGGCAATGCTCCAGACAGTGGAGCCCCTGGAAAGCGCCTGATTGACCGTATAGTTGAAACAATCTGTAATTGTTTTCAAGGTCCTCAAACTGATGAAGGAGTGCAATTACAAATAATTAAGGTATTTTACTACTTTGCTTTTTATAAAATCTATTTGTTAATATGAGCTTTTCTTAGTGTCTGCTTTAGCAACAGAGAATGCTTTTAGTATTAGCTAACGAGAGAATCTCTAAATCTGATTTAGAAAGCTTCTGCAATTTATTCATTAATGCAGCGTACTATGAACATTCTTGGGAAATATAAACGCATACTTTATTTAAGTAGCAAGTTTTTGTTTGGCCATAGAGCTCTGCAAATGACTTTTGACTTCTTCTCTGCCATGTACTCCCCACCCACCTCCCTAATGTTTTGCAAGTTGCATGTTATGTTCAGTTTATTTTCTGAAGATTCAGTAGTTTATCTTCTCATGTGGGATCTGATTTCATGTTGCCTAGCAGCTATTAATAGAACAGTGCATAGGAGCTAGTTTTAATTTACACTGGGAAGTAAACCTTTATTACATTTGGCTATAGGCTATAACATTTTAATTTTAAAGAAATGTTCTTGCTTGTTTTGCACTTTCTAGGTCTCCCTCAAAAAAAAAAAAAAAGAACAGTAGAAGCTGTTAAAGTAAAAATGTGATTGATTTTGAAAGCTGCCTCCTTTTAAAAAAAAGCACCAGGAAGCTGTACTTCAGTAAAATGTAGTTTCAGAACTTAACAACTGAGACCTGAACTAGATGTGACATGTGTTGTATATAGTTTTCCTATGTGGACAAAAACATTTTGTGAGTCCAGGAAGAAAGAAATATTGAAAGGGAAAATGGCTGAAATAGGGAAAAAAGCAACTCTTTCCTCCATTTTTCCTTTGCTTTGTCCTGAATGTGCTTTTTTATTTTAAAAACCAAGTCCTTATGAACAAGATACACATGACTTCTGCATCTTGTTTTGGACTTCTTTGATTTCCTAAAACTAGTGAGGTAATACCTAGATTCTGTAGCAACTTTTAAACAGAGAAACGATACTCAGGGCTATATGTGCCTATTTATAATTAAGTCATCCTGAATTCAAGGAAGCAAATCACAATCTTATACGTTGGTAGAAATCAGCCCCCCCTTCCCAAAATAAAGCATTCCAAGATGGATACTTCAGACATTGCATCTGGAATGTTCCAGTCAATGGAACATTGATGAATGTCAGTGTTCCAATGAGGAATACTTAGCTGAATTGCCAAGGCCAATGATTTGCAAGATAAACCAAGCTACTGGTGAGAACCAGATCACCACTTGTTCAAGGGAAGACCTCTTGGAGGGAGGGGGAGAAGGGAATGCGTATCATGTAATCAGCCCAGTAGTTTGATGCCAGATCAAATAAATGGACCAATTAAGTAACATCTGACCTACAAGCAATATGAACTTCACTGAGGGTAGAACCAGCTTCATGTAGTGGGGAATGGAGAAGGGAACTCACTTTGGAATGGCTTCTTACTTGCACAGAACAAGCATCCACAATTAGAGGATTTGATAGATGCCTCTTGAACCTTTATTTTACTACTCTGTATCACAAAGCCAGTCCTTACTGACCAGTTTTAACATAATAAAAGATTGAAATTAGAAGGCTCTAGTCTTGATTTTCTGGGAAGGGAAAAGGAGAGGGGTTGGAAGAGAGAGATATATTATACAACATATTAACTTGGCGGTAAGGCTCATTGAACCCACCGGGTACATCTTCCAAATAGATATGGGTAGGATTACAGTGTTACTCCCAGGTAAGTCTATAGAGTAATATGTGTCATCTTTTTTGTTACTGAGTAGAATAAAAATATCATAAATAAGTACATTGGGATTAATTTTTGTACTACAAATATAGAAGCAGAGCCTCAGGAGTCTGAAAGGGAGCTTGACGAAACAAAGCCTGAAAGGATAGAAATGCTCTTCCTTTTGCTTTTAAGTACCATTAGCTTTGAAGTAGAGCAAATGTTTGGCTTTTTTGAAGAAAAATTTGTCTGAAATAATCACCAAGAGCTACTCCTAGCTTGAGGTTACTTCTTTCCCATGATCCCCCATTCTCCTAACCCTTCTAGAAAGAAAAATTTGGGATATATTTGTTACCTAAACGCCTTGGGAATTCGAAGTATAATTCCTTTAATCCTTCGTTCGGAGATTACTTTTCATCTATAGTGCTATAAATTGCTTGTACAATTGTATAATGCATGTTTTAAAAGTAAGTTTTGTTCCTGCTTACTCAGAAATTGTTGTGTGTGTCTCCCCTTTCCAGGCTCTTCTCACTGCTGTCACTTCCCCGTATATAGAAATTCATGAGGGAACAATCCTTCAGACTGTTAGAACTTGTTACAATATCTATCTGGCCAGTAAAAATCTCATTAATCAGACAACTGCCAAGGCTACCCTCACTCAGATGCTGAATGTCATTTTCACTCGGATGGAAAACCAAGCTGTATGTAGTCATTGTTTATCAAACTGTTCTTCTTATGCAGCCCAGAGAATAGATATATTATTGCTGCTTCTCTGGGCCATCACTGTCAGATTCATCCTTGTGTATAATGTAAAGAAAGAGAATTAATTAATATGTCATATTCAGATCCTCCAAATCATGGTTTAGATGTAATAGGATTATTAAATTCCCTCCAGATCCCTCTTCCTCTTTTGTTTGTAGAATAACTTTTCTTTCCCTGGCTTTGCTGTAGCCACAATTCACTATAATGCCAAAATAGAGCAGAGTTTGATTAGCATTAACCATGCTTGCCTCTAAAGCCATGCTATCAAAAACATACTTCATACCATGATTTCTTTTCTATGATTTAGCAATTTTTGGTTCATGCTGATCATACTTTTCAGCTAGCTACCATTACGGCAAAATATGGTTACAGCAAATTTTGGAAGAAGAAAATTCACTCTGACCAGATTTAGATGTTATGTTCCAATTCCCCAAACAATAAATTGTGAACTCAAATATTCCCTCCTGCTGCCTTATTGCCTAATGAGGACTGGACTTCTTGTGTGTTTTGTCATAGTGTGATTGCTCCCCATATCTGAAGGTCTGTGTTAGGGAAATTGGAGAAATCTATTACAAATTCAAGTGAATTCAGATTTATATGCATCCAGTCGGTGGCTTCTGTAACATGTTTTTTTTCCCCAAGTTGGGTGGATTCCATGAACTTATGAAACAATTTTTAAGATTTTTGACTAGATTTGTGCTAATGTGTGTTAGTGCAAGGGGAATTAAATTCTTGTGTTTCCATAGCCTCTGCCCCCACCCCCGTATTTTATCAATGAGTGGACAACAAAATAAAAGATGCCTGACAATCCATGAAACACAACTAGAACAAATCTAACAAAATCTGTACATCTCTAGTCTGTGTTTATCAGTTGCAAACACAGACAACAATTCTTCCTAGTTTGGAAGCCAAATTACAGTTGTATAATGATAATCCACATCCATGTTCCTTAAGTTGTGGGCAGTATGTTAAGGTTATTTTTTCTATGATGAAATTCCAAATTCATTTGGAAAATATTCCTTATGTTTTACTGAAAGAAAACCAGTTTATTGAAATTGATTAATTAAAGCTGAAGGGTTCTGTACTGATCTGATAATACAGGCAGGCAGATGATTTTTGAAGCATGCTGCATTATTAGGCCTTTCTTTCTTCTATTAAATATTGTTTTCTAATATTCTATGATGTCTGTTGGAGAAGTGTTTTTGTCTTGATTTCTTTAGATACAGGAGGCAAGAGACCAAGAAAAATCAAGTCAACAAAAATCCCAGTCTCCCATGAGTCATGTTACGTCAGGCTCTCCCAGGATTGGCCGACTAAAATACAGCCAACAAGAAAGCAGCCCATCAACTCCTGTAAAAATAGACTTAACTAATGGTGAACCTGAAAGAAAAGAAAATGGAGACCAGAAACCAGAAGACAATTTAACTCCTTCAGTATCTGGTAAATAAAATTCCAATATTTGAGTTGACTTAAATGGTTGCCAGTACATTGATCATGGTTTCTACTCAGCCATAGATGAGTCCAATGATTGCACACTCCTCCCTTATCTTTCTCTTCTCTTTGCCCATTGGCTTAGGTACAAATGTTGCTGCTTGTGTTATGTTATGTATCACGTGTCCTGGTTCACATGTAATGCGGAACGCTGGCAAAGGCAAGCCAGGATCTTGGTGTGGAAGCCAGTAGATGAGAGGGAAGTGGTAAAAGCGTGCAATGGGGACTTGGCCATGGCTTTAAACTATATTTTATGAAGCCTTGGATAATCATCAGAATGCAGCCAAAGTGAAATGACTTACTAGATGGGCAATCTGATTTAAACTGCTTCTTAGTATTCTTATAGTTGAAAGCTTTGGTGGTGCTCCTTTAAAATCTTGATGGTCATTATTTTTGCCTTCATTCTGATCTTGCCCATGTGCCCAAAGCAATTCAGATTATCTGTAACCCGTAGGGCAGAAAATGCATAGACACACAAATACTTGATGGCACAGTTCAGTATGGCTTCCTGTAACCATCTGAACACAGAGGGTTATGGACATCCTATGAAAGGTGGAAGGTGTGTGAAGGCAAAGGTCACCTCCATGTTCCTTTCATCCTGAAAAACACTTGGTCAGTTGATTTCTGCTGTCTGAGTGGGGTGCCTTGGAACAGGAGGGAAGGATGCTAAAACTTCAGCGGGATATATTGTGTCTTGGTATCAGCAGCCCCCTCCCCTCCCCAACTCCTAGCACTCCCTGAACCCCATCTCCAAGGTTGCTTTTGCAGAGCAAAATGCATAGCCAGTATGGTTCTTTCCATACCAGCCATTGGAGCGGATGGTCTCTGAAAAATCCTCTAGCTCTTTAGATGCCGTCTACCAGATGTGGGATTGCATTGTAAAGCACTTAAGCATCATGACTTGCCAAGAAGTAAAGCAAATTATTGACTCAAAAGCTTTCAGGTTACATCTAAAGAAAGTAGATTGGGGCGAGGGGAGAACTTACATGCATCCAATTGCAAATCATCAGCAAGTATTTAGTAAGAAGAACATCCTGGCTGGGGAATTCTGGGAACTGTAGGATTGTGCAACAAAAGAACCAAACTTTTTCATTTTAGATGTTTTAATTCATTTATTATAAATTCAATATTAAATGCAAAAATAAAAATAGAATATAAAATTATACTTCATTACATAGTACTGAAGGAGTTCAGTTACTATTTTTCTTCTGGAGAAGTAAGGAAAATACTATTCTTAGCTTTTCCACAATGTTGTTATCTGCATATTCTAAAATGTACCCTTACCAGTTGTTTGCTCTGGAAACAATTGGGTACAACCTATTGTGTCCAGAGGATGTTCCTGACTCCAAATCTAGTTGGAAGCAGATTTACTCTCTGGTATTTTAGTCTACTAAGTACCTTTGATTTATTTGTCTAAAACCATCATATTAACATTATGACCTGATCTCTCTATAAAGAGGAGTAGAAGGATAACTCATCTTCAATTTGATTATTATTTAGCTGTGCTTCAGTTGGGTCAAGTATTGTAAACATTATAAAAAATGACTTAAGAATAATTGACTGTAGCAGAACTGTTTCTCTACAGGATAACCAAAGAATGTACTTTGAATCCCAACTTTTCTCTTGCCTGTATCATATACTGGTTACTGCTGAGTCTTCCTGGGTAACTACCAGTGAACTATTATTGGGGGGGAGGGGTGTTTTTAGTAGATCTAGCCTCACTGTACTAGCACAAACACACCTTTTAGAGTATCTTTTGAAACTGACATTTGAAACCTTTTAAAAATATGGATGCTGAGATACAGTGCCTCAGTGTCACACTGAATGTGCACAAACATAGCGATGTCTAAAACCACTCCTGTATTTTCAGCTGAACAGAAGGAATGTGTTTATCTTTAAGCAGCCTCTCTGCTGGAAGCTGTAACATTTAAGAAGTAGAATTCTGTAAAGAACAAGGTGGTAGTTCTTGTTTCAACAAATCCTAAACTGTGCCCCCACATTATTCTGTGGATTTTCCCCTTGTCCTTACCCTTAAAAGCAGCATGCCTCTGCCACAAGGGAACTGTGTCATTGCTCTTTTCTTGCTTTAAGCATGGCTTAGTCAGCTGCTTGTGCTCAGCCATCCTCAAAAGGTAAACATAAAGTAGGATCTAATTAACTCTGAGCTACCACTCCAAATACTACAGACTTGTATAGTGATTATCTGTAATCCTCAAGCTACTGTACCCACACACAAGGCAATATTTGATTTTGCAAATGGTTTATATGGATGCCATGGAAAGAATGTTTGCATAATCAGAAGCCTCCAGGAGACTGGAACAGCATTTGGTTCTGAGAGCTGCTGCTGCTGCTGCAAGAGCCCTGAATAGTAGGTTGCTGTGATAGCTGACCAATCTGGAAGCTGCTACAGGTACTTAGAATCGGTTGCCACATGGACGCTCTGTTTAGCACTGCTGATACTGCTGTGCTAAATGGCAGTGTCAATTGGATCTGAGGATATCTGATCAGCTTTTCCTAACCAGGGTTTTCTGCTGCATATATTTTAAAAAAGAGCTTCACGCTATTGCCCAGTATATAAATGTAATACATACATATATAAAAATACTGCTGAAATATATCAGGCAAACCTGACTTCTGGAGTAGTGTATTGCTAATCTTTGATAATATATTTTAAAGGAGAAAGCTAAATAGCTCTTTTTCATGAATGACTTCTTGATATATATTTTATCAGAAGAAGAAACTGATGAAGGCACAGAAATTGTTAAAGGAATCTTGGAGGATGTGGTCACTTCAGCCGTTAGAGGTAAAATTTCTTTGGGGAAGTTTCTTTCACTCTCTTCATGCCTTCTGAAAGGCACCTCCACATTCTTAAACTTCCTCCAGGTCTACAGCTCTTTTTAAAAATATGCAGATCTTCTTGTAGGAGCAGAGCTAGTGCCTTTCCACAATAGAGTTCTCTGCTTGCCTAGTAAGCACACATATCTGTCATAAAATAGGGCAAACACTATCTAATTCTTTGGCAGTATTTTATCCTCTTAGTGCTTTCTGTTGAATTCTCTGAATTAGTTTATATATTGAGATCTATGGATATAGGAAAATGAATATTGCAAATATGTCTTCTTCAGCCTGTTTAGAAGAAGAAATTAAAAAGCAAGCTCTGCCTGAATCGGGTAGGATTCTGTCTGAATTGGGAACTGCAGTTCTTGCCTCTCCTGGTGGTATTAGTGAAAACACGCAAGCAAATGGAATTCCAGATGATAGACAGTCTGTCTCCTCTACGGATAATCTGGTAGGAGTCTTAAGTGCACCAAGAACTGAATATAAAGCTCCTAACATCCTGGGAGGAATGAGGGGTGGAGGGAGACACACAAAAGTATGTGAAAGGACAAAGCTAGTTACAAAATAAATTACTTCCCAGTCCAAACACATGCATTTCATCAGCATAAATATTTAGGATGGGTTATATCTACTGCTGTAATGGATATTGCAGTTTTCTGTGGAAAAATGGCTTTGGAACAAATGTTTAAATATAGCATGAAACTTAAAAATACTTCATTGGACAGTTTTGTATGATAACACAAGACACCGTTATGCTTCCAGTTGCACCAAATGCAAGTCTCTTCTTTGTTCTTCCCTGCCACATTCACCAGGTACCTGTTCCTATAATAACGTATTAACAAAGCCATGGAAAAGAGTTGCTAATTGATTGTCTTCATTAGCAGGACAAAGAAACCTGTGCATAAGAGTTTCCATGCATATATAATTTAATGGACTTGAGGCTTTGTATGTAATTTGATGCTCATCCAGGTGTGCATAGAAATGCACACTTGAGTGTGAATATGCCTTTCCGTCCTGGAACAGCTAATCTTCAATAAACACATTGAATTAAGATATTTGCATTCCACCCTTAAAAACACTTTTCTAGGGTGGCTGGAACAAAACATAATAACAAAAATATTTCAAAAGACAATAAAAATGCAATGTGAATATGATTAAAATTCATGGGTATAGTTTGATCTATGAAAGGGTTTTAAAACTGATGAAAATCTAAAGGTATTTGTGCACAGGCCTTGACTTGAGTCTTTTAGGAAGATTTCTAAAGTATAATACTTCTATGCAGTCCTTTTTTTGTTAAAAAAAAAAAGTGCCGGAACTCACCTCTTGGGGTCAGTCACTCTACACACATATAAACATAATGGTCGCTGCCAGCAGTAAGCACTGAGCGCGCGACCACACGACCGATCCCAAGCTGAGCAGCGTCCCAAGCCGAGCAGCGCACTCCCGAGCAGCGCCGACACACATGCAGCCTGCAGGCACTATTTTAATGCTTTTTGCTGCTGACCTGCTATGCCCGACAGGGCGATTCACAATCACATGGAAAAATTCATCAAAAAATGGTGCTGGAACGCTGTTCCAGTACGTTCTATGACAAAAAAGCCCTGCTTATATGGCTCAATAATAAAAATTATCAAAATAAATTAAGTTGGAAATGTAACATTTATTTAGTCATCCTTCCCTAACCTAGGTCCTCCAAATGTTTTAGACTTCAAATATCTCCTCATTGCTATCCACAGCCCATGCTGGCTAGAACTGATGGTAGTTGGAGTCAAAAACATCTGGAGGCTCTCAGGTTGGGAAAGGCTGATTTCCTTACTGCAGTATTGTTCCTTAATAAGTTAAAAAGCCAGACAGTTAACTAAAATTAATAAACAATTTGGCAGAAAACATACTAATTTTGCTATCTTCGTGTATGCTTGTGTAGTTAGACTGAATTCTCTAGAGTCTGACAAGAATCTATAAATGTTGCTCTTACTCTGAATGTTTTGATTGACCATCCTTATTCACAGTGCTCTTTTCTGAAGACAACTTCATTCACTAGCACTGTAAAATAGGAAGGTGCCTTATACCAAATCAGACCATTGGTGTTTCTAGTTCAGTAGGATCTGTACTGCTGTGTAGCAGCTTTTCAATCTTACAAAGCAATGCCAAAGATTGAACCAGGATGTATGCAGTGCATGTTCTCTACGCTAAGTTACAATCCTTTCCTAACACAGTGATAAGTGCTTTAAAATTGTTTCCTGGTTACTATTTCTTTGGCAATGGCTTATTAGCCTGATATAACAGGATTAGTTGAGTTCAATTACAATGCAAACAGTGTTGTTGTTTGGCTGCAAACTCAACAATGTCTAGGGCAGGACATAGTGTAAAATGAGAATGAGTACAAGTGAGCCTCGGGCTCATGTGCCCCCATTTCTCTGTACTGCTGGAGCAGATCAGAAACATTTGTTTTTGCTTTAGATAAACTACAGTTTAACATGTGATCTGAGCACTAAACTGTGATTAATTTTAACTTTGGTTAGTTGAAAACAGCTAGCTGTTTAAAGCTTACTTAATTCAACACACTATAGTTAACCCTAATGGGTTTGTTTGGGTGTGGACGTTACAACAGCCTGAAGTTAATCAAAAATAGCAATGTTCCAACCTTCTCCGTGTAGTAGCTCTAAAGGAAATTGGGGAGTACACAAGCCCAAAACTTGCACAAACTTAATCTGACAATGCAAAACCATAGTTTACTGTTACATCCAGATAAGATGTTCTGTCTTTTAAAGCAGATTTCATTGGAATGTGAGCATTGCTACAGGAGATGTTCGTTAAATATAAGCTACAAAAAACTATTTGTAGGCATAAATTTGTGAGTAACGCCTACTTTAAAACATCTCTAAACTACAAACATTCTAACTAATATTTTTACAATTTTGCTGTTAAGGAAACAGATGTCCCTGGACCTCAGGCAGCTGCCAAATTCTCCCATATCCTTCAGAAGGATGCCTTTCTTGTGTTTCGTTCATTGTGTAAACTTTCAATGAAACCGCTCGGTGATGGGCCTCCTGATCCCAAGTAAGAAAATATTAAAATCACTGATTTCTATGCTTTCTGAACTGCTATTCATGGAAGATTGGAATTAAATAGCTGCTAGCAATTAAGTCTTCACATATTCATGCCTTATTGCTAGTTCAGAAAACTTAGACAGCTTTAGAAAAAGCATGATTTATAAGCTATGAGGCTGGGCAATTATAATCTATATAATTCTGATAAAAACTAAGGGGAGCAGCTGTATGCTTTGGCTGCAAGACTCAAAGGGTGTGTGTGTTTATTTCAGTCAACAGAAAATGGAGATTGTTTGGGTTGATGGATTAGTTGCTTGCTTTGTATACCTGCTGTGAAAGTGGAGAGTGTATATGTGTGTGTAAAAGAGTTTATTTTGGCCAACAGATGTTACTTTATTTCTTGGGTTGGAAAATAAGTGAAGGTTCAAAAGAAGCTTTGGCTTCTGTAAAGGGCACAGGTTGTTAAGCTGTTGTAAGAAAGTAATGCTGTTGTTGAGGGTCCGTTCTACAGGAAAGGTTAAAGCAGGACTGGGGAAAAGTTAACCCTCCAGGTAACAGTGGCCTGTAACCCTTGTACCTCACTGTTGGTTGTGTTAGGTTATGGCAGTTAGGAGTTGTAGTTCAACAATATCAGAATGACCATACTTCCCCCATCCATGGAGTAAAGTTTTAGTTACCTTGGTACATGTACTGAAATGGCTTAGAAACAATCCATGTTGAAAGATGGTCAAGTGTTCTGAGATTTCAGCTTCTCAAAAAGCCTTACTCTGAAACAGATCTGCTCTACAACTTGGCCCTTACAAAAACGTGCTTATCAAAAGAGAGAGACTACTGTGACCCAGTTCTTCTGTTTACTATTTTCAGATCTCACGAGTTACGTTCTAAAATAGTGTCCCTTCAGCTGCTACTTTCAGTTTTGCAAAATGCTGGTCCAGTCTTCAGGACGCATGAAATGTTCATTAACGCCATTAAGCAATATCTCTGTGTAGCATTATCTAAAAATGGAGTGTCTTCTGTTCCTGATGTGTTTGAGCTCTCCCTTGCCATCTTCCTCACCCTTCTCTCAAACTTTAAAACTCATTTAAAAATGCAGATTGAGGTAAGAGGGCCTGGTTTTCATTTTTTTTAAACTATAGGTGTGTGATATACTTTCTGTTATTCATAATGCCATCTCAACATCTGGGATATCTATCAAGTGGATGTATACATGTATTTGAAAAAGTGTATATATGTTCAGTACTTTTTAAAAGTGGAGAATTAAGTTTTGTCATAAACTAAGGTATTTGGAACATGGTCGTAACATACTTGGAATGTTTATAATTGGTGCTCCTTGTACAACAGTTATTGCAGCTGTATTTTCTGTTTTCCTTCTACAGGTGTTTTTCAAAGAGATTTTTCTAAACATTTTAGAAACCTCTTCCAGTTCCTTTGAACACAAGTGGATGGTAATTCAGACCCTGACCAGAATTTCTGCAGGTAATTTGATTATATCATCCACAATTTTTCCTTTTGTGCTTGCTGAGAATGGAACTGAAAAAGGAATATGCAAAGTAGCATAGGTAGATAGAAGAGATAATATCTGAGTGCATGCAAGCAAAAAAACAAAAATGAAACAACCCTTTGGTGTAGATGACTCTATTACAGGTTTCCTCCAGCCACACGTTTCCTAAGAACAACTGCAAGGGCCATTGCTCACCATGACCCATCATGCTATGGGCACGTCATAATGCTGGGGAGAAAAGGAGGCATAAGAAACTCAGAAATGATGTGAAGCTGATAGAAGGGTCTGCAGAAAGACAGTCTGAGGAGATGAAAAGCAACCAAAAATGGGTTATTTCTGCTAAACATTTGCAGCACTGGAGGAGGAAAATTATGTAAGCTGCCTTGAGTTCCTTGGAAGGAAAAAAAGGGTGGGATACAAATATAATAAGTAAATTTGTCATCCTTGAATGTAGCCTAAACTAAAGACTGATTTGTTGAAGATCATCCAGTGTCATAAGTGACTGTGAAGAAACCGAAGTTTCACATATACAAGGGTCAAAGCAATCTGATTGAGAGCAAAAAGTGGAGGTGTTCGGATATAGAGGGAGAAAGGGGGAAGAAGACGTTTTGGGTGCACACTGGACACTTCCTGCCTTTTGAGCAGGGCTGCATTGTAAACATCGCCCCACCATTCACTGCTTCTGCCCCAAACATTGTTCACTGCTTCTGCCCTAAATTCTTTTTTGATGTTAAAAACCACCTAGTTGTGATGCTTTGCTGACTTCATGGTCTGTTCTCACATGCTTGAACTATCATAATCTAAATGTTTGTTTTAGATGCTCAGTGTGTAGTGGACATATATGTGAACTATGACTGTGATCTGAACGCCGCTAATATTTTTGAACGGCTCGTTAATGACTTGTCTAAAATTGCCCAGGGACGGAGTGGACATGAGTTAGGCATGACACCTTTGCAGGTAAGACTTAAAGCACAATTCAGTGTTTTTTACTCTGAAGTAAATCAGCTTGTGTTCAGGTCAAGTTGAGGACAGTTAAACATAGCACTGGATTTGGGAAGAGGTATGAAGCATTGGTGGTGGCAAAGTTTAATACATGGAAGGGGTTGAAAGGAGGCTACTCTAATCCGTTGTACTTCCTAAACCCTGATTGTATGTTTGCACTAATCCATGATCTCTTTTGCGTACTTTTCTCCTGTTTTGTAATCTTTTTTATACTTTGTCCCAGTTGAGACATCAAGCCCAATAATGGGTAAGGAATCTTAACTATGGATTAGTTTGATGTCATAATTTAAAAGTGATGATTCTGCCTTGCTGGCCAATTGCAAATTGTGCATCATGGTTTGAAGTGTGGTTGCATACTATGGGCTGTGCTACGTACATACTGTGTGACATCTGACTTAGCAAACCTTGATTATGGTAATTGCTTGGAGGCTTTAGTGCTTAGAAATGAGAATGCTAGATAGATGGCAAATGAAAGCAAACTACAGTTTGGGATCAAAGTTAGCTTAGACCACAAATTGATGTGATGTGAGAATTGAGTGTGGTTTTTCTGTTTCGTTTGAATATTCCTGATTCTCAAAGGTCTTGATCTTACAGAGTAATTCTCTCTCTACTTTGTTTTATTTATTTATTTATTTGTTTGGCATGCAGGAACTGAGCCTACGGAAGAAAGGTCTTGAATGTTTGGTCTCTATTTTAAAGTGCATGGTAGAATGGAGCAAAGACCTGTATGTGAACCCTAATCATCAGGCCAGCCTTGGTGAGAAACAGATGTTTTACTATATCTAAAGACATAATTAAAATAACAGGAAGCCCAAGGGTGTCCTGCTATCTCACCTATTATGAGTTATTTTAGGCCATCTGCCTTGCATTATCAGAGAACTGGTATTTTCTACAGTGGATCTGTGGTGAGATTTTTATATCAGGGTACACAAGTGAATAAATAATGAGCACTATAAATTATCTTTTTCTGTGTGCACAAGTGGAACTCATCGAGACAGCAACTTCTCATACTCCCCAGCTGGGAGCTATAGCTTAAGGATAGTGCTGACAAAAAGCAAGTACTTTTGGCCTTGGAGGCCAGCTGGCCCTGTACTGGGCTATATCAGTTCTGTAAATTGGTGGTAAAATTGAGAATAGTGCAAGGTAGTCTTGGATGGCCACTTGTTCTGCCCTCTGGAAAGTCTGAATATGCATTTTTGTTAATTGCATACTCTTTACAAGCATTTTTACTGCACTTTTACATGTAGGTCCAGATAAGCCTTCTGATCAGGAAATGGGAGAGAATAAATGTCTGGAGGCTGGGGGAAGAAGAAGTAGTGCAAGTTCCTTAGATTCAACCATCTCTTCAGGAATCGGCAGTGTTGGAACCCAGGGCATTGTCCCTGATGATCCAGAGCAATTTGAGGTCATCAAGCAGCAGAAAGAGATCATTGAACATGGGATTGAACTGTAAGCTGGAGTACTGCAGAAGCCGTTTCATATAGCTTGTTCTAATGAATACATGTTCACATTTGCTGTTTTATTTGCTGTCTGATGTGACAGAGCAAAGGGAAGGGCAGTAGTGCTGAGGAGGCATATCTCAAATTGGTGCCAAATAGAGAATTTTTGAACTGAGTGTCTGACACTGGATTTTATACAAACAATTCTACTTGATGGCATTTTCATGAATGCAAAAGAGGTGACCCCTGCAGTAGTATAAAATAACCAATGTTTAATAGACAAGGTTCTTTGTACCTTCTGTTCCTTGCAGATGATGTGCTTACAGCAGTTAACATTTCACAGAATTGCAGAACACAGTGTGGTTTAAATACAGAGATCCCTAATGCAGGCAGAAAGGCGCTTCCATTTGTGCAAGATCACCTTGCCTATTTCCCTATCTCCTTGTGCTGCTGCAGTCACTTCAGCCCCCATTGCCCCATACTGTGAAGTTCCGGAAATTCTATCAACTCCAAGCAGAAGGGGCAGGTGCAAGGGACTATATTACCAGAAAGAGCCATGAAAGACTTATTCTTTTAGTGATGTTCTGCTTGCCCATCTCTGGATCCAGCCCTATGTATTTATTTTTGAAGGCCTGTGATTCTTAGTTCAAATTTAGCATTGGTTTATCATAGTGGTGGTTTATTCATCATCAAAAGGGGGTTCACTGGGGCCAAAAGCTTAGGCAAAATGTCTTAATAAAGCACATTTTATAGCTACTGTAATACAGTAAGCAAATTTGATTTGATGTTTTGGTGTTTTAAGTGCTTGATCTGTTCTCTCTCTCTCTGCTCTGCCTCCTTCCCCTCCAGGTTTAATAAAAAGTCCAAGAGAGGGCTGCAGTATTTGCAGGAGCAGGGAATGCTGGGTGTCACAGCGGAGGACATAGCACAGTTCCTTCACCAAGAGGAGCGCTTGTCTTCTGTAAGACTGAATCTTGCCATAACAAAATGATGTGGTTCTTTGAACAATGGTATCCATGCATGTAGCTCTCAGAGCAGTTTCTGTGTGAGGGTATGAGCAAAGTACTGGGACACATTTACTGGATAAAGACAGTACTTGAGAGGTTTTGCTGTGGTGCTGCCTCTCCTGCAGGGCCCAGGTTTGGCAAGGTGGAGATGGCTCATCCTTGGGTAGAGGAAAGGCTTGCCACCATAAGGACAAAATTGAGAATAAATTGTAGATCATGCTTGAGGCTGATTATTTCCCTATAATTTTTCTATGGCAATCTCCCAGATCTTGCTAGTGTCAAACCATATTGGAATAGATAGAAATTAGGGGAAGCAGAGAGATGGTGTACAAAGGTCTACAGTTTACATTTTTAGACACTGAGAGATGCATGCTCTCTTGGCACAGGCCTTGGCATTCCTGTTGGCACTTCCCATGCACAGGCAGCAGATGTCAACAGCAGTGGCTGGTGAGCAGCAGCAGGGACATTACAACAGCTGGGGACATTGAAATCCCAAGAACAGGTTTACTGTAGTGGTGGGCAACTGGGTGATCCAGGTGCCATTTTTGCCCCACAAATGCTTTCATAGGCTGCTTAAAAAACAAATGAATAAAATGGTGTCTCTAGTGCCACAGAAGGCCAAAAGGGTCAAATTTAACCTGTAAGCATCCTACACGTGGCCCCTTTGATGCCCTGTACTTTTCTGGATGCCGCTTTTTCCCAAATAGGTCTCCATCCCTGTATTCAGGGTCTCTATGTTGCCCACTCCAATTCATGTACATGAGCAGATGGGACTTAGTTCTTCTAGTCATTCTGGAGACTCAAGTAGAGTCTAAGGGCAGCTGTCTTTTCTCTGTTGTGTGTGTGTGGCATAGTGCCATATTTAAATCAGAGAAATATGAAATTAAGAAAAGGGATGTAAAGGACGCCAATCAATCCTCTCATTTGGTTGGGCAGGAAAGGAGGAAAAGGAGACTGTTAGCAGTTCGTACCAGGCACAAAGAAATTATTGGCTTAGGCATGGCTCTCCTTCTGAGAAATCATATGGAAATAATAGTAATGATGGCAAACAGGATGCTTTCGTAATGCAATTATTTGCTTATACCAGTTAAAAGAAAAGTAATCTGTGCTTGCTGGCCTATACTGTAGTATTATAATCTCTTTCTTGCCCACCATGCTTTGTTTTCTCTTTTTAGAGTCAAGTAGGAGAATTTCTGGGTGACAGTAGCAAGTTTAATAAGGAGGTGATGTACGCCTATGTAGACCTGCTTGATTTCTGTGGAAAAGACTTTGTCTCTGCTTTACGTATATTTCTGGAGGGATTTCGGTTACCTGGTGAAGCTCAGAAGATTGATAGACTAATGGAAAAATTTGCTGCTAGATACATTGAATGCAACCAAGGGTAACTTGAAAAATATTTGATGACTCCTAATAAAATGAGGGCATTTTTGGAAGCCTCAGTTGAGAGAAGACGGGAAATATTAAGGCTTGCCAGCTAGACCTAGTAATCCTGCTTTCAAGATTATTCACTTTACCCATGAAGCAAACACATTGAGAGCTCTTTTGAAAGAGAAACAGGTGTATATATGAAACATTAAAGCTTTTTAAGTATAATAGGTTGTGGCTAGCAACCTACATGTTATTCAGATCAACCTTTATACTAAAAGCAGAAGTCTTTTTTACCCTGACTCTGGAATGGTAAGGAAAGAAGGGAAGTGTATCTGATTATATCTAACGTTAACCCACTTCACAAGCTTATGTTGATGCTGTCAGTCACTAAGTCATACTAAATTTTACCTCTCAGGCTGAATGTTATTGCTAATTCTGGGTGCTTGATATTTTGCAAGCATAAGACGTGTAAGGTTATAGAAATGTAGCATCAGTGGATCCCTGTTGCTCTTGGACTAAATTGTTAGGAATTCTTGAGTTACCTCTAGTCACAGATGGATGGGCTGCTTTTATTGTCCGGCAGGAAAATGTCTTTGCACCTGTTTAAAAAGGAGCAAAAACGATACATAACATTCTGAAAAAACTCTCTTTACTTTTCAGCCAAACTCTCTTTGCTAGTGCTGACACAGCTTACGTTTTAGCATATTCTATTATCATGTTGACAACAGACTTGCACAGTCCCCAGGTATTTACGTCTCTTATTTTATTACAGTTCCGCAAAATATTTACAAATAGGTTTCTACACACCTTTCAAAATTTACCTACCAAATTTTTGTTTATGGTTTGCCTTAACAGGTAAAGAATAAGATGACCAAAGAACAATATATAAAAATGAATCGTGGAATAAATGATAGCAAAGACCTTCCAGAGGATTATTTGTCTACTATCTATGATGAAATAGAAGGAAAGAAAATCGCAATGAAGGACACCAGAGGATATGCGATCACAACCAAATCTACTAAGCCAAGTACGATTTTACATCTACACACACACACACACACAAACACCTTTACAATGCAGGCTTTTTTGGTATGTTTTCAACTTCTTCTTTTCCTGCTGTTGACATGTGCCGCACAGTACACTTGGATTAAGCAGTATAGTGTTGTACATAAAGTGGTGGACGTGGCTGAGGACAAGAGAGCTCAAATACTCACTTGACACTTTATACATTTCCTTCAACCACAGCTACTTTACAGACTTGTTGTGAGGGTAAAATAGAATAATTGTATGCCACTCCAGCCTTGCACAAAGAGCAGGGTTCAGGCATGAATTTAGAAGGTGAATGTGTTGGACCTGATGTGTAATCTGATCTTGCATTGGAATTGGGGATTATTTATTTTATTTTATTATTTATTTTATTTAAAACCCTCCTAATATCTTTCACGGAGGGTTCCCGGAGAAGGGCCTCTGCTGCCAATCTCAGGGGGCGGAAGGGCATATATGGTCGCAAGCGCTCCTTTAGATATGATTATACTTCTCATTATAATTCTGAATGAACTCTGAATTCAGGATATGATTAGTAATTCAACTTCAGTAGTACACTTAAGAACATAAGAAGAGTCAGGATGGGTCAGACCAGAGAGCTATCTAATTCAGAATATTGTTCATTCTGGCCAACCAACTGCCTGTGAAAAATCCACAAGTATGAGTTCAATGAAACTTCTGTTTATGTGCCAGAGATAAACCATTCCTTTGTGATGAACACATCTTTGTGGATTTCTTAGCTGAGAAAAGGGGTTTGTAAGGTAGGGGGACATGGCAGTGATAGATAATGCATGGGAAGAAATCTTTCTTCCCCTCTCATAATACTGTAATGGATGGGTTCTTTCATTGAAACTGAATCCTAGGAGGATAGCAACTATGAAATCTTGATGGGCACCAATTTGGCTGGCTTCAAATGGGGATTAGAAACATTTCTGGAGGATAAGCTCATCAATGGCTACTGATCGTAATGACTTCATATTATCTCTAGTGTTAGAGGCAGTACTTGGGAGCAGTATTAGCAGAATAACAGAAAGACTGACAACTGTTGCACATCCCACCGTTTCAAGATCATCTTCTGTTCTACCCATAGCTAAGCAAGAATAATGCAAGGTTATCTATTATTTCTCCAGAAAGTGCAACAAAGACAAAAGATCAAAATGAAGTGCACCAAAAGCTTTATTTCTCCTCCAATTCCCAGTTAAGAGCTGAGTAATAAGACATGTCTAGTGGTTCACGTGCCATCAATAAAAGGAAAGTTGGGTAGAATTGACACTTACAAAAAGTGCAACTTCTTGAAGCAACAGAAATGAGCCACCCCGTCAACCCATGGCTTGTTCTTGGGGCTGTTGTATCCCCAGTGGGTTGTTGTGTTATTCAGACATAGGGGACTGATCACCAGGGGTACAGGGAACTGGCTACTGACCCATTTGGCAGGAAAAGCAAGAGCCCACTGTCACTCTTAAAGAGTATACCCTTGTACCTAGTGGCACATAGGAACAGCTGACATTGTTTCCCCCTTCCCACTATGATCATGAGCAGTTTTGGATTTATTATCAATTCCCATTTTAACAGCTATGAGCAGTTGCTTCAGAGTGCCTAGTGACACCTTGAAGAGGCTGCTTATCATTGCTAAACATTTTAAAAACTTGTTGCCCATGTTAATTTTCGCAAATACGTGCAAAAATTATTTTTCAAAAAATAAGAATTATTCACACTTGTGCAACTGCAGACTTTTATAGCTCTGGAGAGGGGCGTGTCCATTGAAAAGTTCTCCAGGTACACTTTGGGCATTGCCCCACAGATACTATAGGTAAGTTTATTATCCGTTTCAGATACATTTGACATATTTTTTTTAAAGAAACTGTCAAATGCAACCAAGGGCATGAGAAAATCTCACAAGAAAGGGGTGATGGCATATTAGTCCATCAGGATAGTATGGAATGTACAAAAGTTACACAGCTTTCTGTTTGCTTCTTAGATGTAGCCAGTGAGAAGCAGAGACGGTTGTTATACAACCTGGAAATGGAGCAAATGGCAAAAACCGCTAAAGCGCTGATGGAGGCAGTAAGCCATGCAAAAGCACCTTTCACTAGTGCAACTCACCTCGATCATGTCAGGCCTATGTTCAAAGTGAGTATGGAACTAAAGACATGAGCACATTTCTTACTTATTTGGAACATCACTTCCAAACATGACAGATGTAGAGCAGGTACATTTGTAAAATCTTCGTCAATCTAAGAAAGTGGATATTGGGTATGGAAGAGGCACCTCATGGGTGTGAAGGGTAGAGCAGAAATGATGGTGGGAGAAAGTACATCTTAGACTTCTTTTATAGGCTGATAGAAAATATACAAAAGCTTTAAAAATATTGTGACATTCTTGGTCTATTTTAGAAAAGAGGTATTTTTGGGCGTAAGTGATCTTTGCATTAGATAGCTGCCTAGGGCAAGGTGTGGTTGGATTTTAACCAGCTTATAGGTATTTTTAAAATATAGTAGATAGTATCCAAATATATTAAGTAAATCCTTTTCCTTTTTGTTAGCTTGTGTGGACTCCACTGCTAGCAGCTTACAGTGTTGGCCTTCAAAACTGTGATGACACTGAAGTTGCATCATTGTGCTTGGAAGGAATACGATGTGCTATCCGAATAGCCTGCATTTTTGGCATGCAGGTTGGTATAAGATAAACTAATATCTAGGGCAGTGAAGAGCATTATTAATGAGAGCTTCTGAAAACGTCAAAATGATGTTTCCTAGCCTTGGTCTTAATATTCAATTGAAGCAAAAACTTTAATGCACCTACCTAGATGTGTATATTTTGGCTTAAAATGTTAGCAATTATATCTTAAAGTTATATTTGTTTAGAATCAGTGCCTCTTCTGGTCAGCTGTTTATGATTATAATTAACTCTGTTTAGCTTAGCATTTCCTTGGGAATAGCTCCAGTTGAGCTGAAGTTGAAAAGGGTGTGTAACTTTCTTTATTCTGTACCACTGTACATTCCCTAGAGAAAAATTACCATCCCACTCTAGCATTCCAGTCCATCTCTTCCACTTCACAATTATTTGGAGAAATTTTATATTTATTGAGATATTTCAAAAGCATGTGCAAAATGAATAAATCATGTGCTAGAACAGAAGCAAAGTGAGTAGAGATTGAATGCTTACTGACAAATTACAATTGGAATATGGATAAAAGTTCCCAACTTACAGATACTGGAATTGCTGTTGATAGGTCAGAGGGATACCCATTTTTTAAATATGGTAAAAATTTTCAGCAGCCATTCCTACTTCCTTTTCCTCTGCTTGAGACAATTCCATTGTCACAGTCTATGCACGCTATCTCATAGATTATACTTATTTATGCTCCTTATAGTCCCATATTAACCAGGTTCTCCTAGCTAAGCTCATACCATCACAGAGTAAGTAAAGCTGTGTCACCACTGTGTATGTTCATCACCACAGATATATAGAGATGGAAGGAGGGAAGTATGTTTCATATTTACCATGGATTATTACCACTACTATTTTTTTAACTTTTTAGCTTGAACGAGATGCTTATGTACAGGCACTTGCCCGCTTCTCATTGTTGACAGCAAGTTCCAGCATCACTGAAATGAAACAAAAGAATATAGATACAATTAAGACGCTTATTACAGTAGCACACACTGATGGCAACTACCTGGGAAACTCTTGGCATGAGGTAAAAACCATGAGAGGATTTGGGCTGTGCTAGTAGTTTTGCGGAAGTTGTACTGTCCAGTTTACTATCTTGGATTAATCTGTTTATAGTATTTAGTTGTAAATGCATTTCTGTAGCCATGGAACTGCAGTGTATGCTGTACATGAAACTGTTTGTTTTGTTACATGTTCATTGCCCGTCCTAGGAAAATTCAGTCTTAAGAAACTGTCAACCTTTCTGGAATACAGCTGTTTGGAATTTCTTGAGATGTTTGGCAAATTCAAGTGAACCTCTTTAGCTCCATCACTGCTTTCTATTTATCAAACTGGCTTACATAGTTCCTTGAAGTGCTGATCGAAAGTCTGCTAGATTTCTGATTTGACATGAACCATAGCAGAGGGGAAAATCCTCTTTGTTTGCCAGCTATATATCAAACAAATTGTAACATCAAAGGAAGTTACTTTTACTACCCACTTGGCTGGTCCTAAATTAGTCCAGTCCTCCTGGAAGTTCACTAGGGAGTGTCTCAAAAACTAAGTATTGAGGAAGGGACCACATTGCAGTTGTAGAGCAAAAGTTTGGTTTTAGAGATGTGTGCAGGTTCAGTCCCTGGCATCGCTAGTGAGAAGGATTAGGTAGCAAACCATTAAGTGAAACCCTGGGGAGCACTGCCCACCAGAAGAAATTGTACTGGGGTAGATGGGTAAATAGCCTGACACGATATATGGCGGCTTCTTTGTTAAATTCTTTTCCATGGTTCCATTGGAAAAGAGACTTAATTGCCTACAATGTGGGGAGCTGATAAGGCCACTCTGTGCGCAGAATGCTGAACTAGATGCATCCAGCACAGCACTTCTATTGTTCTTAAAGTGTCATGTTGTGGTTGTTGTTAGTCATGAAGTCGTGTCCGACCCATCGCGACCCCATGGACAACATTCCTCCAGACCCTCCTGTCCTCCACCATCTCCCAGAGTCCACCCAAGCTCACACCAACTGCTTCAGTGACTCCATCTAGCCACCTCATCCTCTGCCGTCCCCTTCTTCTTTTGCCATCTATTGTTCCCAGCATTAGGCTCTTCTCCAGGGAGTCCTTCCTTCTCATTAGGTGGCCAAAGTATTTGAGTTTCATCTTCAGGATCTGGCCTTCTAAAGAGCAGTCAGGGTTGATCTCCTCTAGGACTGACCGGTTTGATCGCCTTGTGGTCCAAGGGACTTGCAGGAGTCTCCTCCAGCACCACAATTCAAAGGCCTCAATCCTTCAGCACTCAGCCTTCCTTATGGTCCAACTTTCACAGCCATACATTGCAACTGGGAAAACCATAGCCTTCACTATACACACTTTTGTTGGGCAGGGTGATGCCTCTGCTTTTTAGTATGCTGTCTAGATTTGCCATAGCTTTCCTCCCCAGGAGCAAGCGTCTTTTAATTTCTTGGCTGCAGTCCCCGTCTGAGGTGATCTAGGAGCCCAGGAAAATTAAATCTGTCACTACCTCCATTTCTTCCCTATCTATTTGCCAGGAAGTGAGAGGACTGGATGCCAGTATCTTAGTTTTCTTAATGTTGAGTTTCAAGCCAACTTTTGCACTCTCCTCCTTCACCCGCATCAAGAGGCTCTTTAGTTCCTCTTCACTTTCTGCCATGAGAGTGGTATCATCTGCATGTCTGAGGTTGTTGATATTTCTCCCAGCAATCTTAATTCCAACTGGTGATTCTTTTAGTCCCGCCTTTCTCATGATGTGCTCTGCATATAAGTTAAATGGGCAGGGTGACAGTATACAGCCTTGCCGAACTCCTTTCTCAATTTTGATCCAATCAGTGGTTCCGTGTCCAGTTCTCACTGTTGCTTCTTGACCTGCATACAGGTTTCTCAAGAGTCAAATAAGATGGTCTGGTACTCCCATCTCTTTAAGAATTTGCCACAGTTTGTTGTGATCCACACAATCAAAGGCTTTAGCATAGTCAATGAAGCAGAAGTAGATGTTTTTCTGGGACTCCCTAGCTTTCTCCATGATCCAGCGTATGTTGGCAATTTGATCACTAGTTCCTCTCCCTCTTCGAAATCCTGCCTGTACTTCTGGTAGTTCTTGATCCACATACTGCTGGAGCCTAGCTTGTAGGATTTTGAGCATAACTTTGCTAGCATGTGAAATGAGTGCAATGGTGTGGTAGTTTGAACATTCTTTGGCATTGCCCTTCTTTGGGATCAGAATGTAAACTGACCTTTTCCAATCCTGTGGCAACTGTTGAGTTTTCCAAGTTTGCTGGCATATTGAGTGTAGCACTTTTGTGTGTAGTACTGCATCATCTTTTAGGATTTTGAATAGCTCAACTGGAATACTGTCACCTCCACTAGCTTTGTTGCTGCTCAGACTTCCTAAGGCCCATTTGACTTCACATTCCAGGATGTCTGGGATTCAGTGACCACCCCATCGTGGGTATCAGGAACGTTAAGCTCTTTCTTGTATAGTTCTTCTGCGTCATCTCGCCACCTCTTCTTAATGTCTTCTGCCTCTGTTAGGTCCCTGCCTTTTGGTCCTTTATCATGCCCATCTTTGTATGAAATGTTCCCTTCATATCTCCAATTTTCTTGAAGAGATCTCTGGTCCTCCCTATTCTATTGTTTTCTTCTGTTTCTTTGCACTGTTCATTTAAGAAGGCATTCTTATCTCTTCTAGCTATTCTCTGGAATTCTGCATTCGATTGCGTGTATCTTTCTCTCTTGCCTTTCGCTTCCCTTCTTTCCTCAGCTATTTGTAAAGCTTCCTCAGACAGCCATTTTGCTTTCTTGCATTTCTTTTTCTTTGGGATGGTTTTAGTTGCTGCCTCTTGTACAGTGTTGTGAACCTCCCTCCATAGTTCTTCAGGCACTCCGTCTATCAGATCTAATTCCTTAAATCTATTTGTCACCTCTACTGTATATTCATCAGGGATATGATTTAGGTCATACCTGAGTGGCCTAGTGCTTTTCCCTACTTTCTTCAACTTAAGCCTAAATTTTGCAACCAGAAGCTCATGATCTGAGCCACAGTCAGCTCCTGGTCTAGTTTTTGCTAACTATATAGAGTTCCTCCATCTTTGGCTGCAGAGCACATAGTCAGTCTGATTTCTTTGTTGACCATCTGGTGATGTCCATGTGTAGAGTCGTCTCTTGGGTTGTTGGAAAAGAGTGTTTGCTATGACCATCGTATTCTCTTGACAAAATTCTACCAGCCTGTGCCCTGCTTCATTTTGTACTCCAAGGCTAAACTTGCCTGTTATTCCGGTTATCTTTTGGCTTCCTACTTTAGTATTCCAATCCCCCATGATGATAAGGACATCATTTTTTGGAGTTAATTCTAGAAGGTGTTGTAGGCCTTCATAGAACTGGTCAACTTCAGCCTCTTCAGCACCAGTGGTTGTGGCATAGACTTGGACTATTGTGATATTGAATGGTTTGCCTTGTATTTGAACTGAGATCATTCTGTCATTTTGGAGATTGTATCTCAGTACTGCTTTTCCTACTCTTTTATTGACTATGAAGGCTACTCCATTTCTTCTGAGGGATTCTTGCCCACAGTAGTATACCTGATGGTCATCTGAATTAAATTCACCCATTCCTGTCCATTTTAGTTCACTGATTCCTAAGATGTCGATGTTCAGTCTTGTCATTTCTTGTTTGACCACATCCAGCTTGCCTTGATTCATGAATCTTACATTCCACGTTCCTATGGAGTATAGATATTTGCAGCATCGGACTCTCCTTTTACCACTCTCCTTTTACCTTTCGGCTTTGACCCAGTCGCTTCATTCTTTCTGGCGCTACTAGTACTAGTCCCCTGCTCTTCCCCAGTAGCATATTGGACACCTTCCAACCTGAGTGGCTCATCTTCCGGCGTCATATCTTTTTGCCTTTTGGTACTGTCCATGGGGTTTTCATGGCAAAGATACTGGAGTGGGTTGCCATTTCCTTCTCTAGTGGATCACGTTTTGTCAGAGCTCTCTGATATGACCTGCCCGTCTTGGGTGACCCTGCACGGCATAGCTTATAGCTTCATTGAGCTACACAAGCCCCTTTGCCACAACAAGGCAGTGATCCATGAAGGAGTAAAGTGTCATAAATGTCCCCATTGACTGGCATTTCTGCCCATCTGCACAACCTGGTTTAAATAGGGAATTAGAATCCCTCTGATGAGTTGCTTTGAGAGCCAGGTTAGCTGAAGAATTGTTTCCTATATATACCTGCCTTAAAACAATCTGCAAAGGCCTTCCTATGACTGTCCCCTCAGTGAGGAGAGTCATGTAGCTACTAAGGAAATGGCCTCTTCAGTGGTGGCACTTCAGTTGTAGAACAGATGCCCCTGCACATCTTTCCTGATGCTTGCATTGTGGCTTTTTAATTTATTTAATTGTGATTTTCCCAGGTTTGTAGGACTTTCATTTTTGTTTCTAAATGCTATTATAATAGCATATAATATGTGCTATTATATTTTTAGATCTTATTTTAGTGCTGGTTTTACTTTGATTTTATTCTGTTTTAAATTTGTAATAGTTTAACATCATTTTACCATGTTATATATGGGGGTTCAAATTATTTTATTTCATTTCATTTCGTTTTACTTGTAAGCACCCAGAGAGCTTTGGCTCTTGGGAGGTATAGAAATAATATCAAAATGGAATTATTGAACACTTAAACCATTATGCGCACACACAACCATTCCATAGCATTGCAATTAATGGGGAAGTCCTTGCCCAACTGGAGTTTGCATTCAGATTGATGGTGTCTGTGGGCACAGATTATGATACTGAATTCCTTATTGTTTTGATTAGATCTTAAAATGCATCAGCCAGCTGGAGCTAGCACAGCTAATAGGGACTGGAGTTAAAACACGCTACCTGTCTGGATCTGGCCGTGAAAGAGAAGGGAGCCTCAAAGTCTTCACATCTGGAGGAGAGGAGTTCATGGGTCTTGGACTAGGTCAGACAACCCTTCTCATATCCAAGAATACAAGTTAATTACATCAGTATGTTTTGTCACTGATAGGAAGGACATGATGGGCAGCATAGTTTACTGCTTTACACTTAAATATGTGGACCCTTTGCTGTACATAATTAATAACATTGTATTGTTATATTTCTAGATTGTAAGTAAGAAACTAAACAAGAGTCAGATACTGCAAATCATAGTATAATCACTTTATTTGTGTTTACTAGAGTAAATAAAAATATCCTAAACTGTTTTATCACATTACATACAGTGGAACGCATTTTGGTGGGGAAAATCTCAATATGCGAGTCCTGTAATTCTTTCAGCCTGTCTTTTTTATTTCTGTGTGATCTGTGATTTAGTATCCTTCTAGTTGATGGTAGTTGTGCTTTTTATTTTTACATGTAGCAACTTGGTTTCGGTATCTTCTTGTTTAGGTAACCTTGTTGGTGGAGGTGTCGATAAACGGCAAATAGCCAGCATTCAGGAATCTGTGGGAGAAACCAGTTCACAAAGTGTTGTGGTAGCAGTGGACAGGTATTGTGCACTGTTTTGTTTTGCATAATGAAATACGAAAGGCTTACTTTACTAAGCTCTATGTCATAAATAGGACATGTTAGAGGACTTTTATTCAAAGGACAGCAATAAGTCAGAGATGACTTAACAACACACAGCAACAACAAAACATAGGCATTGGGATCCAAACCCTACTTTTTAACATCAGCTTATAAAATGTAATGTAATAGTACCTGATAGCAATCTTCTTTTCTTCTCTATGTCTCATATCACATATCTTGGCAATAACTATGTAACATCTTTTCCTAGTAATCAGTGTTTTGTGGTTTTAACTCTGCATCTCAACTTGCTCCACAGAATATTTACAGGCTCAACAAGACTGGATGGAAATGCAATAGGTATGTATGTTGAAAAAAATAGGCTCAAATAAAATATAACTGTGTTGAATGTTTTAGGTTTACAGCATCTCATCTCTTAACATTTTCAGTTGACTTTGTTCGATGGTTGTGTGCGGTTTCCATGGATGAGTTGGCTTCCCCTCACCATCCACGCATGTTCAGTCTGCAGAAGATTGTTGAGATCTCTTATTACAACATGAACCGAATTAGGCTGCAGTGGTCCAGGATATGGCATGTCATTGGCAATCATTTCAACAAGGTATTTTAAAACTGAAGCTCTACAAAACAGGGCTCAGATCAGACACTGGGCTAACTTGTGTATAGTTGCTTCATTTTAAGACTGATTCAGTTTTGGTGTCCAGTTGCTTGCATGACATGGAATAGCAACTAACACTGTATATGTTGTGGGGAGAGATGATTCCAAACCCATCAGTAGGTACAAAGACATTATATGCAGGTCATACATTGAATTTAATGTATAAAATTGCAATTCTGCTACTAGAAAGCAGCCTGTGCACACCCAGTATAATTAACTGAGTATCTGGAGGCCACCCTTAGTACATTAGTGACTATAGCAATGGAACCTAGCTTCTATTGATACAACTGATTTCTCTTTCTCAGCCTATGAATTACTTTCTTGGACTTTGGCAGATCCTCAGATGGAATCCGTTAATGTTCTGTAGATGTATTGATCTCACAAGAAGAACAAGAGAGAGATAAGATGTTGAAAGCTCTAAGTATATAGTAGAACCCCCCCCCCCCATTTTCAGGCATGGGAAGAACACCCAACATTATCCTTAACTGTTCTCTGTTGTAGTGAAAAGAGGCCTATATCATACTAGGTTTGCTTTTCTCTCTTGGGCTTTTTTGCAGGGGAGGTGAGGGTTAAGCAGATCTTTGCCCTGCTCCTATGCATATTTGATTAGATCTGCTGATTTTTGTTAACGGTGCTTGGGTGTTCAAATATTTTGGACTGAACTCTGACTTGGCTTTTGCTGCCAAGAAATTGGTTTAGGATTGGAGTGATAGAGACTCCTTTTGATACTATTTTGAGAATTGCACATGTGGGCACTCTGGGGCAGTTCATTCATCACAGTTGCAAATTGTGGGTTAATTAACCCTTGATTTGCGCAAAGCACATGAGCTACTCTGCATTTGAATGAGCAGGTTCATAGGTTGCTGGCTTGACACCAAACCTGGACATTCTGTGTTCTTTAGTTCTTTAAACAACCCAGAGTTAATTCACAGTTTGTTAATCCGTAAACAGCCCAGATAGTCCATTTTGGACATCATGCTAACAACCTATGAATGGGCATGTGCAAAAGGAAGCAGAGTCAAATCATAGATCAATTTACACACTTTAATTTCATGTGAAAATCAGGTCTCTGACTTCATATTTTGTGTAATGACTGGCATAATGCCACTACAGCCTTGCCAAGTTGTAGACTGGATTTGTAGAGTAGTTTTCACCAGGTATACTCCATGTTAAGAGAATACCTATTTCTCTTTCCTAGGTTGGTTGTAATCCTAATGAAGATGTGGCTATCTTTGCAGTTGATTCTTTGAGACAGCTATCAATGAAGTTTCTTGAAAAGGGAGAATTAGCCAACTTTCGATTTCAAAAAGACTTTTTGAGGCCTTTTGAGCATATCATGAAGAAAAACAGGTTTGTACATGGCTGTAGTGGAGGGAGCCCTTAGGCAGTAGGAGTGCTTCAACTTATTTTGGATGGGGTCATTGGGATTGCTAGATCCCTGAAACCAAGGTCACTGTCTCTGTCCTCCCCCACCACCTCTCATGAGACTTGATTTGTGGCTAGTAGCTGCCACTGTGTCAGAATCCAGAATTAACAGGTTAGGCACAGGGGTGGGTTCTTTTTGGTTTTTTGGCAGTTCCCAACAGTTCCTGGAAACTACCTATCTAGAGAGGCCTGCCAGGCATGCACATGTGTTTTCTGTGAAATGTTTCCTGATAGTCAGCCTCTGTATGTCACGTTTTTAGATAGTAAGTGTGGGCAGAAACTATCTTATTAATTCCACATGAGTCGCTCTGGGAACCTTTTTGGTTGGAGAGTGGTGGGGGCATGGCTTTGAGGTGTGGCTCTGACTATCATGAAGGGACCCCACACTTCTACATTTGTGTTTGTGTTTCCTAAAATTTGAAATTTAATTCTGGTCCTTCATGCCCATGCATATTGTTCTGTGCAAGATCACAAATGAGGTACAGAATTGCTTTCTTTCTTGCTAGATCTCCAACAATTCGAGACATGGTAATACGGTGCATTGCTCAGATGGTGAATTCTCAAGCTGCTAATATTCGCTCAGGGTGGAAAAACATTTTTGCAGTATTTCATCAAGCAGCATCTGACCATGATGGGAATATTGTGGAGCTGGCATTCCAAACAACAGGACATATAGTTAGTAAGTAACTAATTAGGCCAAAAGGAAGTGGTAGAGGTTAGCTTCAAATAGGTAAAGTGACAGCTTGGAAGCTTCTTGTTTCTCATTTACGCTTGGCAGAATTCTCTCTCTTCACCATTCTGCAAAAAAGGATTGAGGAGCCTATTTTAGCGAGAGGCTGAAGTCCAACTTGGGTAGGGTCTGAAGGCAGGTCACATCCCAGCAGGGGGCAGGGGCAGTCCTAATTTCTACAAATGTGGACATTGCCCACCAAGCATATGAAGCACAGCTCATGTCTGCTTAGGAGTAAACCCCACAGCAATAGCTCATTTCTATGCATATTTATTCAGCTGTAACCCACATAAAAGGTTTTTTTTTTTAACACAAGCCTTTGGCTTTCTCACTTTCTTCTTACAGGTCTAGTTTAAATAACTTGCTCTTTAAATATTTTTCCATTCCAAACACTTTTTAAAAAGTAGCATTTTAAAAATTTAAAGCCTTTTAATCTGCTCTTGTTTACTATGGTGATGAATGCCTTTCTTGCAGAATTCCAGCTCTTATCTTTGATCGGGGATTGGAGATGAGTGGGGGTTTTTTGCACAGGGCTGGAGAGACAAGTGTTGGGGAACTGCAGCTGGAATTTGTGGGCTGAAAGTCTCTCACCTCTGTTCTTTGTCCTATTATTCAAACTATTTGGATCATTGAAAATAAGTCAGTGCAAAAAACTGCAGCATTTGCAAGAACACTACTAATATGACCTAGATAGTTTATTTTGATTTCATTTTTTCTCCCTCACAGCCAATATTTTTCAACAGCATTTCCCAGCAGCAATAGATTCATTCCAGGATGCTGTAAAATGTTTATCAGAATTTGCATGTAATGCAGCCTTTCCGGACACCAGCATGGAAGCAATTAGACTTATCCGTTATTGTGCAAAATATGTTTCAGAAAGACCACAGGTATTTTTCTTTCATTGTATTATATTTCTGCCTTTTTTCACTTAAAGGGTTAAAAATAGTATTCTAAATAATAACCTTTAGAGGCAACGCATTTCCAGCAAGCCATTTGGATATTCTGCGTGCTCTTTTATGATCCTTCTTGCTGCCTTTTACTGCCAGTACTGTTCGATTTTATTGGTTTTACATGCATTTACAAACTTTCTGTTTAAGTAACATATGCATGCTATAAACATTTTTAGAACAAATAAATATTACACTGCTGACTTGTTCTGTGCTGAGCCCCGGCTAATGTACAATTCTGGCTGGGGAATTCTATGTCTTCTAAAAGCTATTTTTGGTGAGAAAATAGTCTTATGATTTCAATAAGACTTTAAGAAATGCCAATTCTTCCTGTTTTCCATTCCTCAGATTGACATGTATTGTTCTAGCATTATCAAACAAATTGCTTTGGCTTTTGAATTGAACTCACATGTTACCAGGAAGTGCAGGGTGACTTGCTTATGTCTGAAACATGTTCAAAACCATGTTTTGTTGTTTAACTCTTCTGTTTCTCAATTTTGTAGCAAGACCTGAGGGAGTAGCATACAAGTTGTCTAACTACCACCTCCTTTCTATTCACAGGTGTTGAGAGAATACACAAGTGATGACATGAATGTGGCAACCGGAGACAGAGTTTGGGTCAGGGGGTGGTTTCCTATTTTGTTTGAACTTTCTTGTATCATCAATCGGTGCAAGTTAGATGTGCGTACAAGGTAATAAAAGTTCAGTGTCTTGCTCTGTCTGGTTATCAGTATTCTACTGTGCTAACTTGTATTCACTTATTGCTGCTTTTCCATGTTCTAGAGGCCTAACAGTTATGTTTGAAATCATGAAGAGCTATGGCCATACCTTTGAAAAGCACTGGTGGCAAGATCTGTTTCGAATTGTGTTTAGGATATTTGATAACATGAAGCTCCCTGAGCAGCAAACAGAGGTATCAAAAGCCATTTTATAGTAGCCCATTAGACTGTGTTGTTAAAAGCATTCAAAGGCAAACGTCTAATATTGCATTTTAGAGTAATGGGAGCTCTGACTGAGAAGCCCTGAGAGGGTGCCCCGCCACAACACTGTGTGGCTTTCTGTTCCATTTGATACTTGTACCTTACCTAAGCTGGGGAAGAATGTCAGCCACCTTCTTCAGTAGGCAATCCAGGTGTTACCATTTATACAGTGTTACCTATCACAGTGGCTCACGGACTAAAATAGGTAGAAATGACATGTCACTGGGCTGATGTGCACCATCCCTGCACCCACCATGGCATCTAAATGAAGGTGGGATGCAGACCTGTCATGTCGTGTGAACCCAGGGGCTGTTGCAGGGTTCCACAAAGTTTGTTTAACCCTCATATAAGTCATCCTTACAAGACTCCCACAACACATTAAGCCAGAACAGATGCCCACCACAGTTTGAACGTTCAGAAGGATGGCTGGTGCACACAGCCACTCACCAAGTGGTAGCCTGCAGTGATGGTGTGAATCCAGTCAGGTCTCTTAAGAGCTTGCAGTCTAAGATGTGGAAGTATGGTAGGGTGGTGGTGAAACAGGGTGGTAACCTATCAATAGGTAAGAACCTTTCCCCATTGGCAATTTGTCCCAACAAAAATACAAGGTTTGTTTTATCTCTCAACAGAAATCTGAATGGATGACTACTACATGTAATCACGCACTTTATGCAATCTGTGATGTATTTACACAGTTCTATGAAGCTTTGAATGAGATTCTTCTTCCTGACATATTTGCACAGTTACACTGGTGTGTAAAACAAGGTAGTTTATTTACATACATGTCACTTTATTCTGAGTGAATAAATCTGGGGAAAGGCATATGTGAAATGCATCTTCTTTCCTTCCATAATGCCCCCTATTCATCATGTAGCGGCAAAAATGTGGCTAGAGTTCTTCTGAACTCTGAACAATTCAGAAGAATAGTCCTCTGTACTACCACAAGTGCCATATCTGTTTTGTGTCAAGAACAATTTGAACCTACTGATCTGATTTACAGGAAACCGCAACCAACCGTGTTTTTAATTAAAAAGCCTACGCCTTAACTCTAATGAGTTAGGTTCATTTAATGAGTTAAATGAGTTAAATGGATTGTTTAACCAACAATTAACCTTTAGGACATATTTGCACATCATAGCAACCCACCCTGGCAGTACATCATAGTGACTTGACTGTGTGAACAGCCCACAGTGCACCCAGCAGACAATCACGCTCATTGTAGATTGTTCATCTGCTCCTTAGCCCTCAGTCCTCCCATGGGAATCCCAAGGTATCTTACAGCAGGAATGATTTGTCTCCCCTGCTGCAGCTCACTGCAGCCGCAAACACATTTGTACTTACTTTTTTGGTTCCTTTGAACCATTTATTTTGAGCAGCTAGTAATTTTATCCCTTTTATCCATTTGTCTTTGACAGCCCCCTTAAAGTACCCAAATTGCAGGAGCTGCCACTGATTTCTCATGCATCTTTTTGTTTTATTATTTCTTCTTCATCTTCATTGCCTTCATATTCTTTTTGGTGAATCAGATGTGCACAATTTTTCCTATATCTTAAACATGTTTTTAGTTGGTCTTGTGTGCACACTTTTGCAAGGCTGAAAAGGCATGCCTCACCTGCATGTCTGCTATCAAAGTGCAGCAGGCATCCCTCATCCCTAATAATTGATCTTGTTGTTTTTTAAAAAAAAACTTTTTATCTACTTGGAGTGGGAAAGAATAACTTTTGAGATACTGGCTCTGGAGCCCTAAGATGCTGATTGAGTCCCTCCACATGCTTAGGTGAAACCGAGGTGACAAGAGCTACTTCCCTTTTTCTTCATTGACCCTGCAATAAGTCTCTCTTTCCATAAGCAGTTTTCTACTGAGACAATAGGATTTAGCCTACGTATTGCTAGTCCTACAGAAACACTTTTCTTATTGAGATTTTCAGTGTTGACACACTGCTGCATCAACAATGGCAGGTGATGCCATTATGCATCAGAGTCTGAATTGCATAGGCCCCATCTTTTTCCTCACTATGGAGTGATTTTTCCTTTCCTTTCAATAACTATGGTTTTCCTTTTTGTACTACCCTGATGCAACCATTCTTACTTCTTAGCATGGTTCCTTCAAAACCAAGCCTTTCAAACAGTGAGTTGGAGTCAAATTACATGAGTGGATTGGCACAACAAGCAATGGTGGTTTTTTGTTTTTTGGTTGGTTGGTTGGTTGGTTGGTTTTTGCATGTTGTTCTGTCATATTCCAAACCCCAGCATTGTACTTCAGTATTGCACATTTGGTTTTTAGAAACTACAAACAGAAACAACAATTTCTTTGATGGTTTCTCAGGCCAACAATGCTTTGTTGTCAAAAACTGGAAACCACAGTTCATTGTGGTTCTAAGTTCAGCTCTACTTATCCACTTGGCAAGAGCAGCCATTCGCTGCTCTCCTCAAATGGCTAGCCAGAGAGTGCCACTGACAGATGCCATTGTGTGCAACTGTGAAAGGCATCTGTCAGTGGCACTCTTCTTGCCCTAAAGATGTTTCTTGGGCAGGAGCAGGCAGCCAGTCAGTCATCCTTGGGAAAGGAACAGTGCTACTCAGTTGTTATCCCTCCTGCTTATAGATGGGGTGGTGGGGACAAGAATCCACTGGGAACTGGCACCTGTTTGGTCCCTCTACTGTCCCTCCAGCCCAACAGAGGGAAACCCCTCTTGCATGTGAGCAGGAAGGGTAAGATTCCACTGGGCACCTGCTTGGGGAATGAGAGCCTCAGTAGATTGCCCCACTGTTCCCCACCCCTTTCCTGCTCCCCCTAGCCAGAAGGGCAACCTGGCCACCTGGTTGGGGCCACCATTCTGACAAAGAGGAGAGAGAAAAGGGGGCAAAAGTTGCCTCTGCTTTTGTTGTGACCACTAGCCAGAAGGGTACTCTGGTGGGTGCTGCATTGGGAATGCCTGTCTGGCAAGCAGGAGTGAGAAAGGGGGATGAGCATGGAATCAGCTGGGTGGTACTGATGCCAGTGAGGCACTGCTGCCCAGCTGATTCTTTCTTCCTGCTTGTGCAGGAGGGGATTTCCTCTGGCATGTGTGGAGGGGGCAGATAAGAAATGGCTTGAGCAGCATTCTTGCTTTTCCTGCTCAGGTGCATGAGCAGGAGGATCAGAGGAGAAATTTGTTGAGTGGGGCAGTCCCCAACCAGGCTCCACAGCCTGGTGGGTTTTTCCCCTTCAGGTGCAAGTGGAGGGAGGTGCAGTTCCCTCCCTCAGTGCTGCCAGGCTAATTCCCCCCTCCCTTCCCTTGAGCATGGATCACGTGCCTCCCTTCCCCACCAGCAGGGGCAGGAGCCTGATCAGCTTCCTCATCCTCTCTTTCGTCCTTCAGGGCATGAGCACCGATTGATAGTTGCTGCAAGTCAAACTTGGCATGCAGTTGCAGTGGTCAAAGAAAGGAGCCTCCTTCTTTCTGCAGTGCCTCCTGGGATGCCCCCTGGAGGACTGAGAAGGACAGAGACAGTGGGTGGGAAGAAAGTTACTGTAAAGATCCTGATCGTCTGTCAGAAACATCCATGCAAAACAAAAAACCATGAAGTGTGGAAACTAAACAGGGTTGCTTGTCATGATAGGTGAATGCAGCCAGTGCATCAATGGGCTTAAGCCATGACTCACTTAGCCCACTGGTGTTAATGAAACTAAGTTCAACTCTCTCTGTTTGGATCCAATCCGAAGGTTTGAGGTAGGCTTCAGATCCTGTTTCTCAGTGGAGTCCCCATCATTGTTCCTCATTGTTTTGTATCATTGTTTTGTATCAAATATGAGTGAAACCATGAGTAATGAAGTGAGGGAACTATTCTGGAGAAGGGAAGAGTGGGGAAGAAGTAACAATAATACCTCCTTGGTACTATACCTGCATTAACTCATTGTCCATTTTGTAATACTGCATTGGCTTGCTACTTAATACCAACTGCACAGCCTGTCTCTACTTAGGCTATTTTCTGACAGTATAATTTTATTTATATGGAACATGTTTTATATGTTAATTCTTAATTTTGACAGATAATGAACAACTGGCTCGATCAGGTACCAACTGCCTAGAAAGCCTGGTAATATTAAATGGACAAAAATTCAGTCATGAAGTCTGGGACCAAACCTGCAATTGTATGCTAGAAATCTTCAAAACAACAATTCCTCATGTGTGAGTTTAATTCCAAATGTAGAGTATGCCCAGCTACCTTCAAATCAGGTTGTAGTTCTGATCTAATTGTTTCTTTCTTGAAGCTTGCTTACATGGAGGCCAGCAGGAATGGAAGATGATTCATCTGAAAAGCACTTGGTAAGTGCTCCAATCTCTTACCATCCACTTGGAAAAAAATTAAAAAGAGTCTATAAACTGAAGATGAATGCAGTAGCTTCATGCGTTTAATGTGAAAATAGAATTTCGTTCCTAGAATATTTATCTATTGGATCTAAGAGATAACTATTCAAATGTTAATAACCAGTAGACAGTGCCCGCAACATCAATGTTTATTTGGTTGCTTTATCAGTGTGTTATGCCATGTCAAAAGAATTACCTTAACTGATACATGTAAATTATTTGTGAAAGAAATGTTAACCCAGCTTCTACTTTATTTCTAGGATGTGGATGTAGATCACCAGTCTTCAAGCAGTATTGACAAAAATGCTTCAGAAAGAGGGCAGAGCCAGTTTTCAAATCCTACAGATGACAGCTGGAAAGGTGGTGCTTATTCAAGTAGGTCTGCATGTCCAGCATCTTGCCTATGTAATGATGTTCCCAGTTTTCCTTCAGACTGCCTTGCAAGCCACACCCACCCTTTTGTGCTGGAGGCCTGCTGAGTTTTAGCACTCTTGTCTACAGCACTATCCCAATGTACAGGCATTTGATTTGCTCCACTTGGTAGCTCAGTAAATTCATGGATCCCTGTTCCTCCCATACATGCTTGAAAAGGAGTTTTTATTGGAAGTCAGGGACTAGAGACAGTGGGATAAATGTGGAGGCAGCAGGATCAATGTAATTTATGTGGCTATGCCAGGTTTTACTGGACGAAGTGTGAATTGCTTAAAACCTAACATCTTGATATTCTCTCAGACCAGAAACTCTTTGCCAGCCTCCTCATTAAGTGTGTTGTGCAGCTGGAATTGATACAGACCATTGATAATATAGTATTTTACCCAGCAACAAGCAAGAAGGAAGATGCTGAGCATATGGCTGCTGCTCAGGTAAGAATCCTCCAGTATTTGGAATGTGTAGGAGGAATAGACGAAAACTTGAAAGACTCCTATGCTTTATATGTGAAGTATTCCTATAAAAATGGCTTCAAAGTGATGAGGTTTACTGTTCTGCTTTTGATATATAGTTCATTAGCTTAATAAGTAAAGGAAGATTTTACTTAAATATTATCTTTCTTGCTGCTGGAAAATTGTACTTAGGGCAATTTGGTCAGAGAAATGGGCAGAATAAGACCGAACAAACAGTGCCTTGATATTCTCCAGATATACTGATGTGCAGATTACACAGAACAAATGTTGCTGGGAACCAGAGATATATTTGGAGTATAGTAATGGTCACATTACATTTGCTATTTCCTTGTATCCGAGAGCAAACTGCACATGTTCTGCCGAAGTGCCATCTACTATCTTACTGTTGCCTTTCACACATCCCAACATGCGTCCTGCACTGGACAGAGGGGGTTCATATCCAAACAAAGACATCATGCTTCTGTGTAGTATACAGACACTTTTTTCACTAATGGCACCATGCAGCAGCTTTTTTTTATGTTCTGTGCTCTGGCTATATATGTAAGGAAAACAGCAAAGGATGCATCCAGATTCACTCACTGAGATCAAAATTGGTCTGTGGTCTCCTAAGTGATAATTTGATAAAGAATTTAAAAAGTAACTCTGAAGAACTACCTGTGCCTTCAGCCAATACTTTCTGTAACTAGCATTAGCATGCCAGTGGCATTTGTTTCTGGAGCTGTCTTTGGCGGTGGTGACACATGCTTAGTTCCATTCCATTTGGATTACTATAATGCACCCTGTGTGGGGCTGCTTCTGAAGAGGGTTTATAAACTTCAGCTGATTCAGAGAGCTGCTGCCAAAGTGTTGACTGGAACTGGCTCAGGGAGCAGACAACTTTCCTGTTGAAAGAGGTTCTCTGGTTCCCAGTCTGCTTCTGGGCACAATTTGAAGTGCTGGTGATGATCTGTAGACCCCTATACAGCTTGGGACCAGGCTGTTCTCTCATATGAGCCTGCCTGGACTCCAAAATCTTCTGGGAGGCCCTCCTCACACTCCCACCACCCTCACAGGCATGCTCAGTGGGAACACAGGAAGGGACCTTCTCAATGACTTCCCCAAAGCTCTGGAATTCCCTTTCTAGGGAGGTTGCCTGCTAGATGTCCAACAGGTTTGTTCTAACAGGTGTTTGGGCCTGTGAATTTGCATGGGACTGGTTTTATGCTCTATATTGTTTGTGGTGTTTTTATTCTGGGTATTTTGTACTGATTTAGATAGTCTAACTTTCTAAAGCATTTTTAGTGTTTTACTTGTATACATTTTTAATGCTGTGAGCCACCTTGAGCCCCAGTCACTGGGTATAGGTGGGATAATAACAACAACAATAACAACTGGATTTTCTTCCTTAGAGAGACACACTAGATGCAGACATACACATAGACACCGAAGACCAAGGAATGTACAAATATATGTCTTCCCAACATCTGTTCAAGTTACTGGACTGTCTGCAAGAGTCTCATTCATTCTCGAAAGCTTTTAACTCAAACTATGAACAAAGGACTGTTCTATGGCGAGCAGGTCAGCATAAAAGAGTGTGCAGCACAGCAAGTTTTTTTAAAAAAAATCCTTAGAGATTACACTGATTTTAAATTTTAAATTGTTCTAAATAGTCTACATTGTTTTAAAACATTGTTCTGTTGGCATGACTTTGTAATTAAATGTTTCATGCAGAATATTATAATACCAATTACTTTGTCCTTAATGTGGAGAGGCAACTATTGGTTGCTTTTGAAAATGGCTTTTTTCCCTTTTTGGTAAGCCTGCAGAATATGAAGTTTTGTTTAAACCATGAACTACATCTGTGATGCCTGACTCTACATTACACTTAAATGTCTACAGCCGTAAGCCCTGTGTCCCTTTTTATACCTGATGAGCTACTTTAGGAAGCAATGATTGGGATTTAAAAGGTAACAGAGGAAGAAGGGTAATTTTCTGGCCATCAAATGCTACCTAGGATTTTTTATCTGTATGTTTGAAATGCATGTGTGCCCTGTTCAAATGTATATTTGGAAATGTATAGACTGGAAATGCCATGGGGTGGGTGGGATAGATTTGAACAAATATGCAATTACTTCATCTTGCTTCATATCTTGATTCCAAATTTCTTTTTGTGCAGGATGACAATGTGTAATGTTATCTCTGTCCTCAATTTCCAGGGTTCAAGGGTAAATCAAAACCCAACCTTTTAAAACAAGAGACCAGCAGTTTGATTTGCTGCCTGCGAATTCTTTTCCGAATGTATGTTGATGAAAACCGCAAAGACTCCTGGGAAGCCATCCAAGAGAGACTCCTGAAGTAATCATTATTTCTCCCTTTCAAAAATATTATTAGGTTGCCCAGCCCAATGACAGCACCTGACTGCAGGATTTCAGTGCCTGTATAGCATTCTTCAGTCTTAATTGTTCGGATCAGAAGAGGGGCTCAGTTCTTCTTCATGGTCTCTGTCTGTCATGCATATGGGTGCTGTACCTGCGCAGTTTTTTATTCAGGAAGATTTTCCTAGCTAAGCCTAGAATTAAGGTTGGGTTTTTGGATGAAGTCCTATTATAAATAAATATAGGCTGTTTAGGTCTGCTTGAACATATGAAAGCAACCAATTATTTGCATCAGAACATGGATCTCTTCCATACCACTTAGTAAAAATGGGCCTTTTACCCTGACTTCAGTGTACTTTTGCTTTTGTTTTATTTCCAATTAGTTAGGTGGGGCTGTTTGAAGATGAAAAAGGTTGCCCTGTAAATAAATGAAGTTGGGTAGTCACATGTCTCTGTGATAGTATCACACCCTTAGACTGTAGTACTTCCAAGCATAGTAGCAACTTTAGTATGATTTAAAAGCAAAAGAAATGTTAAGTATGGAAATAACATACTTTAGATACTCTAAAAAGGAAACTTTACCACTCTGCATGCTGATCAAAACTCCCACCTGTATTGCTAAAAATGATGGGATGTAGCAAAAATGGTTCATTTTGTTTGCTCACTATTCTCTTCCCATATATTGAATGCATCTTCATCTTTGTTTAGTGTGTGCAGTGAAGCCTTGGCTTATTTTATCACCGTGAACTCTGAAAGCCATCGAGAAGCCTGGACCAATCTCTTGCTCTTACTTTTAACAAAAACGCTAAAAGTCAGTGATGAAAAGGTAAGAAAAAATTACTGTCTTCATTTCATATAGAAAACTTGGCCATTCTACATTCATCTAGACTCTTCTTCATGTCTTCATGCATGAACAGGCATCATGTGTAGGACACATCAGGCTGCCTGAGGTCACATGGCCCTGACATCCATGTATTAGGCAGGTGAAAAACTCTTTAAAAGTATTCATTCACATGGCTGCATGCCTCTGTTTAGATCATGCCACCTCTGGTGGCGTTTTTATAATTTTATTCTGAGATTGTCTTTGGAAATAAAGGAGAGATGTAAGCCATTTAAAAATAATATATCATGGAGAAAACCTCCTCTAGAGTAGGAATATCTGTATTCTTGTGGTCTATTCTGTATTTTAGATGGAGGCCCAGGTAGCTCCATGGCTCTACACTAAAATGAGCACTGATAAGAAGTACTCGTATACTTGTGCACTCAGGCATACTCTGGCCATTAAGTACAAATCCCAAAGATAGCGTCAGCATTAAAGTGTAGAATACCTAACTCCCCTTGAAAACACTTTCCTTACAAAAGAAATTTACAGCAAAAAGGTATCCTGCTGGCCAGGTGAAGATGTTTTGGGGACCAGACCTGGATCATAGGTTGCCATTTGGCTAGCCAAACAATAGCTTGAATCATGGTGGGGGTGGGGGTGGGGGTGGGGATTCCTGATTTGGTGCTGGATGAGTGAAAAACACCTAGTGAGGGGGTCTAGTTTTGTTGTCAAAACCAGTTGATATGTCACTGCGAAGTACCAGGAAGCCAATGTCCATTTGCTAGATCTGGACATTCCTACCACTGTGAGACCATCCATAAAACTGTACTTTTTGGTGGATCTGCTTTTTGGAAGGTCATTTAATTCTTCCTTTCTTCTTTCAAGTTCAAAGCACATGCTTCAACATATTATCCCTACCTATGTGAAATAATGCAGTTTGACTTGATCCCAGAGCTCCGAGCTGTGCTGCGAAAGTTTTTCCTGCGCATAGGGGTTGTGTTCAGAATCTGGATTCCTGAAGAACAGTTGCGAACAGTGGGTACCCATTCACTTCCATGGTAGCCCCATAGCTGCTCTTTCCCAAAGCTTGAGTTGTGCTAAGTCAAAGAATGGATGCAGAAGGTGAGCAATGAATAATTGACAGGTCTCAAAGAAGAAGCAGCTACAACTATGGGAGCAGCAGGTTTATTTTGATCAAGCTGGTATTTCTGAGGGGAAGCTGTTATCTCTCTTTTTAAAATCTGGCTGCCCTATAGGAATAACTGTCAGCATTTGATGATTTAATGCAGTAAATGTCAAGTCATTCTTATCACTAAGCTTGTCTCTCCAAATCTGTTGTTTGTAATGTTTCCCTCTTAACACTTTCCAGCTAATTCCCCATAATCTGCTGGAAAATATTTAATGAATGGAAGCTATTTGTGAGATAATACTGAATATATTCATATAGGCTTGTGATGTTAGCAAATCTAGTAATAAATATTTGAGAGGGCTAAGTTCATCTGAAAAATATGCAGGAACACTTCCTCCACTGGGGTGCATTCAGTTGAAAACTGGTCCTTTTTAAGTGGTTTGGTGCTGTATATTCTATAAACACATGGGAAGATGGTGATTTGGCAATAATACAGCCAGTCACCCAGCAAACTTCCAATGCCATCTTTATCTCCGTTGCTCCTACTGCCAACTTACTGTATATTGCAGCATGTGTTGTGGTACATCATTCCTAGAGCAGCACCATAATTTGTTGGCCTGGACCTGTTTGTTTTCATAATATGAAATTAACCTTGATAGCAAGTTGTTGTCAACAAAATAATTTGCAAACACTGCTCCCCACAAAGAAAGTAGTTGAAAAACATATCACAAAGCCTCTTAACCCATTTAGTAATCTCATGACTTGAATGTTTAAGAACCTTGACAATTTAGAAAATTCTTCTTCTTTAATAATATGAAGCAAATAGGAAAATTAAGCTTTTAAGTTAACCTCTGATGTGCACATAAAATTAATTAAAATGTAATTACATGTCGATAAAACAGTTCCCTTTTGAATTATAGATAGAATAGAATTTGGGTAAAAGCAGTCTATCCTTAATGTGCATTAAGCTGTTTCTATTTTTACTCCAGAATGTGAGTTATGGTAGGTTTATAATGGTTTGGTCAGTCCTTTATTGTCATTAATGGTGTAAGGGGGAAGAGTCTGGTTCCTATTGGGACCACTTGATTTATTAATATAAGTGCACATGTATATGTGACAAAAGCCTGACTGTTAGAGGGCAATAGGAAGAAACTTGCAATTGTAGCAGTGCAGTTCTATTGGCTCTACTGACTTCGGATCCAAGGGGATTTTTGTTTCTGTTTTTTGTAAGACCATGTCTTAGTCCGATAAAAGAAATAGTTTTGTAAGGTACGGCAGGCAAAATCTTTTAGCTGTATTTCACTCTGATGTAATGGGTGCAAGGTTTGTATAAGAGGGCAGGAAAGAAATTGGTTCTGTCCAAATATATTAAAATGCAAGTGCAAAAAGTATTATCAAATGTATATCTGCAAGCATGAATCGCAATAGTATTGACTGAATGGAAAGTGGAGGTGGAGGAATTGTGTTTGATTGGCTCCAGTCCTAAAAAAATGGCTTTACACTAAGTTCCATTGAAGACAATAGCTTCTGAGTGTAACTAATGTCTGGAAACTTCTTGTTTTGTAAATTGAGCTCGACTGTGAACACAACCAAAGTTGTAATAGCTTTGAGAGAACCAGAATTGATGACTGGATTTATTTTATTAATATTGGTGCTCGCTTTCTCTCAAGTTTTGTTTATAGCAAAACAGTGTGGGTTTTACATTTACTTTTGGCCATTCATATGATAAGTAAAAACAATTTCTGATGTTTAATTTCTTTACCAAAGAATTTTACATAGTAAGTACAGGATTTGTCTTATGTGAAGTACGTTGACACAGATAAATAACTTATTTGAAACTTATTGTTCTAACATTTTGTCTATGGGCAAAATGTTAAGTGAAACATATGTTAATTTTATCAGCATTTAAATCAATTTAAACTTTGTTTGCTATGTAAAGAGGCATTTCACCATGTATTGCAAGAATTCATTTATTTTTATATATGTATATTTACATCCATATATTGAAGTGTATTCCTTTTAATTGGACTATTTCTTTTTTTTACCCACTACCATAATTCTGCTATTAACAGTTTGTACAAAAGCACCTAGGGGCCCATTCATTTTTGTCAAATGTTAAGTGTTCAAATTTGCATCCATTTGACTTCATACAAGAAGCATGGCAGCATTACAACTGAAGTTTCAAAATCTGGGTGAGAAGTGCAATACAGACGGGAGTGAAATTATATCTTCCAAATCTTAGCAGTATAAAGTACCATGAAGACGCTTTATATGAAATATATTTGCATATATATGTAATATTATTACCATAAAACTTAGAGGCCTTTAAAGCCTTAGTGTTAAAAGAATTTATTTCCTTAGGAAAGCTATGTTTAGCAGTCAATCTTACATTTTCAAATAGCTATACTCTAAATTAAAAACACATGGCAGGGGGAAATCTACATCACCATATGGTTACCATGGACTTGTGTGAGATGAGATTTCATGAGAGCCTTATTCCAGATATTCGTGAAAGATTGTATGTGTACTAGATCTGCAGAGAGTGATAACATAGTCCATGTATTCTCTGAATGAGCTATTATGGTGGCTAGGGGCTTCAGTGTACCTTTTGTTTTTGTAATATCAAACTCCATGGACAATCAAGAATTCTCACAGCCATTTCTTTTAGCCCTGATCATGGAGGAGGTTCTGCAGATTAAACACAGTATTTCCTGTGGCACTTCTTTCAACACACATGAAATTTTAATGAGATTGTAGTACTCAACGACAAAATTATTATCATGGATTCAATGAAGAATTAAGTATCTCTGTAGGCCACAATTGTGATGTACATACTCATGTCTTAGCTCTGGAGATCAGGAATGAGCTGTTGTTGGGTAACAGACCGCAGACTCTCTAGTATGAAGTTCCTTTCCTTGACAGTATTAATCTTGGCTTAGTTTTACATCTGTACTATCAGCAATCGTGGTTAACTGTATTCTGGTTCCCTCTTAACCAGAATGTGCAAACCTGCTTTGAATTCCCATTTCCAACTACTGTTTAGGATGGGATCCTTGGTTAACATTTATCCTGGTTATTGCTGTTGCAGACACAATTATAACTTGTGATTAAAGCTAAGGAGGAAAAGGGGAGCAGGAATAGGAACCAGTGAGGGGAGATAAGCGCTCACAAGCCTCTCCATCTGCTTATGATCACTTACTAGTAGTGGTCAGACATTACATCTGTACTTGTCCTAAAGTACTGTTATATTTTAAAATACTTTTAAGTTGTGAATAAAATAAATCTTGCCCCAAATGAATGTTTAGAATACAGTCCACCCACCCTTCCTGATCCACATGTAGTCTTCTCATTCTATCAATACTTCTGAAGAGGTACCCTACAGTACAGGTGAGAAATATTAGCTTATTGACAGCCTGAAGGTGACCTTAATTTTGCTGCTCCTGGCATTATCTTATCAAGCACATGACATTTTTGGTTTTATACCCTTTTCTGGAAGTTATTTATTCTATAATACAAAAAACCAATACAGATCATCTAGTTAAAATTCTGTAGTATGAATTCAAACTGAGGCTACAGACCACAAATGTCTTAAGCCTGCATATTTGCACAGAAGCTGTTTTTTTTTTTTTTGATAAAGTTGATGGAGTAAAATTTGCTTAAATGCTTTGTGCATTGCATTTTATAATGAACATTTGTTCACAACTGGCATAGTCACACTGAAGTACATATAAGCCAGCAATGAATGGCCTATGTAATTTGCCCCTAAATATTTTAAAACTTAGTGAATTGATATGATCCTTGGCTTGAAGCAAACAAACGTTGATTTGTGAGAGGTGCAATTCTCTGTCTCAACACTTAGTCCAGAATATCTCTTTGCAACTTTAAATAAAATATACTTTGTGCAAAATGTATGTTTTATCTTTATAATGCCTAAAATTAGTTACAAGCTACTTTTTTCCTAAGAGACCTTCTATTATGAAGTGCATTTAATATCATTAAGTTAATGAAAGCATTCCTTGCCCGATGGATGTATACATTTTTGACAGAATAGCAAAATAATTATATAATATGAAAGCTATGTAAAGTTTTTTACATAAAATATTATGTATAATAATGTTGTATCCCATGCTTTAATCAGGTGGTAAATAAAGTTTAAAAACAACTGTATTTCAATGTAGTGATTGAAAGGTTACATCAGTTATTTGTTCATATCAAATTTATCTGCCTTACATGTTAAGAGCCTAGAAGAGGAAGACCCAGATGTGTAACATGTTTTGTGTCCAGAGTTCAAAACATGCTTTGTCTCCAGAATGCAGGCATAGCCTTCTGGCCATCTTCCCCACTGGTGAAACAGTGTGTTTTGCACAGAGGCCATAGGTCAGTGGTACGGCAGGAGGCCCCCAGCATTTCCAAGTGATGGACACGGTGCCTGGAAGAGCTGCTGCTAGTGCTGCTCTAGTGTGGACAGTACTGGGCTAGATGGACCAGTGGTCTGTTTGAAGAGAAGGTTCCTTAGGCTTTACTAGTTTGCATTTCAATTCTAAATAAACAAGATCAGGTTTGTTCCATCATTTCCAGCTGCATGGAAAGCAGGTTTGTGATAATGTGCATTGTTTACATGCTCATTGCATATTCATGTGTATCCCAAAATCAGCAAAAATGATGTGTTATGAATAGAAATAACTTCCGTTCAATGCCAGAGGGTAAAGTATAAGGAATAGTTACTTGTCCCTTTTGAATGAGAAGGCTGCTGATGTACCATGCTCATATAATTTTATTGTAAAAATCATACAAGGGCTTTGCAGAATAAAAATACCATTTAACATATGATCAGAGGTTTCAGCCTTACCAGTGCTGAACCTTAGCAGTCTTCCACCATTCCTATAACAATGCTTGCTTATTATCCATGCAGAATGGAAGATACATGAGCTTTCAGTCAGAGTGGGACCCATGTTTGTTGATGTTAGAAAAATCCATAGAATGCTCTTTTGAAGGCAATCTTAGAATTGTAAATACAATGTGCTGCACAATCAATATTCTTTAATTCTAGAGCAATTCATCAAGCAGTGGGCTACCTGTCACCCAGGTTTGGAAATAATGCTAATTATTTGTGATAGGACTGATTTCTGATATGCTGTCATGAAAGGGGTAGAAGGCACTACGGATATGAAATCGTATGTGTGTGTGTGTTGTGAGGGACATGTTTCAGTTGTGAGAATGGTGCTGTCTGAAATTTCCCAACTGGCTAGCAGCTAGTTTTGTTGACAGGTAAGGCAGTTGCTGGACATAAGACTCAGCAGTGCAAGAATATCCCTTGTACAGACACCAGCTCCGTGTTGCACATAAATGCTGATGTGTACACTTCTTATTGTCAATGTAATAGATTATTATTCCACACTTTAAATAAAATGTATCACTGTTGCATATATAATTTTTAAACAGCAGCTAAAAATAATATAAGCGCCTTCTGCCTAGGCTTCCAATATTTTGCAGGATCCTTCCCAAATAGCCCTGGAGCATGAATGCAGAAGTACCCCAGCAGGCCACATCAAGCATAAACATTACTGTCTTCCAAAACAGTTACCCCATCATCCTCATAAAATGTTAAGCTTCATAAAAAAGTGTTCACTGTATAGAGTACCAGTAATTTTGCTACGCTAACGGAAAATACTATGAAATGTCATTTTACAGAGTTGAAGTACTGTAGGGTAAAATGTCCCACTTCTAAACTCTTGCTTCCGAAAGCAATTCTCCAGACTTATGGAGAGGGAGTCTTACAAGTGTTTGTACATCCACTGCATGTTTTTGGCTGTGGTCCTATTTTTTTTTTTTTTAATTAGTTGCCTTGTAGCCCCCCCCCCCCCCACACGGAAATGGAGAAAGAATGTCTGAGGAAAACAGAAATCTGAAGAACCATGCTGGATCAGACCAAGCTTCCACCTAATCCAACATTTGTTCACACAGTGGTTAACCAGGTGCATGAAATCCACAGGCGTGACATGAGTGTAACAGCATCCTTCTGCCTACATTCCTTAGCAAATCTCTATGGTCGCCAGCATACCGTCTCTAATACTGGAGGTAGCAGAGATCTTTCTCCTCCCTAAATGTGTCCAACTGCCATCCAAATAGGTAGTCATGTTATGGAAATGAAATCCATAGTTCATACTTCGCATTACACCAGACAATAGTTTGCACCAATATACTCTTGTTTGGAAAATCAGTTTCCCACCTACCCACAAGCACTCCTGTAAGGATTGCAGCTAAGCTGAAAGCAAACAGGGAAATCAGGGTGGGGGTGGCTGATGATGCCACCCTCTGAGCTAATCATAAAGTCCTAGGACTTCAACCCTGTGAGCCCTGGCTCCATGGCAAAACATATCTTAGCACTAACAATCGGAACTTGTGCTGCTTTTCCATTTTCCCTTCCTTAACGGATCTGTTTTTTACAAGAGCATAGGAAGCAGCAGTGGGAAAAATCCATGGGGGGAGCACAATTAGAAGACAACATCCAGTCCCCTTGTAAAATTCAGTGAACAAAGCAGAGCAATTTCACATTAATCCCCAGGCTCAGCATCTGACAACAGTGTACCATATTGATAGCAAAGCATCTCCGGCCAGGCCAGGCAGTCACACCATCCCATAGCAAGCTCTTCTTTCCTCCTTTCCAATTCAAATGTCTGTGTGTTCATAAGAAACAGCATGCAAAAGCGTATGCACTCACATAAAATGAGTTAAAAATATGGGGAAATTGTCAGGAAAATCTGGATTGAGCCATGAAAAGCAGCATTCTGAAGAAAAGTACCGCTTGCTTGCTTGCTTATTTGAAACATTTCTATGCCGCCCCCATCGCAATAAAGCCTCGGGGCGGCTCACAACATTCATAAAAAATACAATAATTTAAAAACGGGTACCATCTCGGCTATATATATTAAAATCTATAAATACAATACTAATAAATTAACAGTTAAAATAACTTTTAAATAAAAAGGTCTTCGCCTGGTGCCGAAAAGCAAATGACAGTGTCAGGCAGACCTCTCTGGGGAGCACTTACTGGGGTGTTATTTCTATGTTAGCAAAGATGATTGGGCCTCACAACAGCAATCTTTTGCCCAGATAAAGGTCTGAGAGTGATATTGAAATTTGTGAGACACAGGTAAGCAGTGGTGTGGTTATGGTATTGGACTAGGACAGGTGAGATCCAGAATCAGGTTCTTAGTCATTCTTCAGGTTCACTGGCTGATTTTTGACAAGTAAGTATCTCTTGGCATAAATTATTTATTGGATTGCTGTGAGGATAAAATGTGTGCATGTCACCTAAAACTTTTGGAGGAAAAGCAGGGAATGAATGTTATACAAATTTAATTCTAATAAGGTCCATTGAAATTAATAGGAAATCACTAATTCCAATACAAGTGCATTTTAAATTTAATATTACATATTTAAACATTTCCATACTCTATCATGTGCAATATATCTAGAGATAGTACAACAAAACCACAGTGTAAATACATACTTTGATTTAAGGAAGCCTATGGGAATGGGGCAGTATATAGATAAAAAATAAAAACCTATAGAATGTAATCCATAAGCCAGCCCTCCCTAAGGTGATGTCCTCCAGAAGCGTTGGACTATTACTCCCGTATTTCTGGCTAAGAACTATGGGAGGTATAGCTTCGACACATACGAGGAATACCAATTTGGGGGATGCTGCCTTAACTGCCTATAAATTGAAAATTAGAAGTGTCCAATCAGCAAACTCAAAGCAAACAAAAACCTTTTCAACCTGCCTTTTAGCAACACCACTTTTAACGAAACCAATCAGTAAGCACTATGCAGTTAAAAAATCTGCTGCGCCATCCAGCCTTTTTCAACCTGTTATCCTCCAGATGTGTTAGACTAGAACTCCCATGCCAGCTGGGGATGCTAGGAATGGGACTCAACCAGGAACACTTGCCTGGAAATAAGGCGTTTCCTAGACTGAGGCAGATAAAATTTCGTTGCAGTTAGTGGTAAGAGAAACCCACTCTGCATTTACTGAAAAAACTGTGCTGAGCAAACAATAAAAATTATGAAGAACACTACCCTTCGAGGAATTATTACGGAGCTGGACTGTTTCTACACGGCTGCGTTTAAAGGTTGCAACGCTCCTGCTTCACGTTACTTCAGCATCTAGACAGCCTGGACTTACATTGAGCCCGATTTAGCCATACTCAGATGCATTGTGGGAAATCACTGAGCACAGAGGTCGGATTGGTGCTAGAAAAAGAGTGCTTGGGATTGGCTGTGGCCTCTGGCGAAGTCCGCAGTTGATTGGTGCCGGCCAGGGACGGATCCTGTGTAGCGTCCCACGTGCTTCCGTCATCACGCCGCTGCCGCCGCGCCCTCTCACCGAGGTTTGAATGTGAAGCGGACTTGGAGCTGTAGGAGGAGTTCCTGCTTTCGTCGCTGTCAGGGGATCCGCCAGGTGAGGCCGGGCTGTTGAGCGTGATGAACCATCTCGCCTTTGCGGGCTCCAGAGCCTTGAGGTGATGGGACGGTAGGCCTCAGGCGAAAGGGCTGCCGAGGGTCACGCTTATTCTTTGGGTGGTGGTCCGGCTTGCGGGCCCACGGCGCCGCTGAAGGAAGGGCACAGCCGAACATGCTGCATCGGTCTTAGCCCGCCCCTTTTTGCTTACGCTTGTTCTCGCTGGCTCTTGAGCCTGGCCCGCGATAAAACCGGCCCGTTGATTGGCTTTCTTAAACATCATTCGGTTTGGCAGCAACGAGGTAGTGTGAGCCGAACATTCTCAATCACTTGTTCCGCTCCATTTTCCCCTTTTCTCTTCGTGGCCAATGACTCGTTTGAGGGGAGGCTTTCGTTGTACGTTCCGGCTTGTTGAGGTGGGGACCGTACGTCGGAGGGCAGTGGGGCCTTGTGTGCAACTGAGGAAACAAGCTTCTCATTTTCCCGGTCCGGGGAGTAAAATAGCCTTACCCAACTTTGCAGATGTGTTGGATTAGAACTCCTACCTTCCCCCCGCCAAATATCTTGGCTGGGGAATGTTGTAAATCGCAGTCCAACAACTGGAAGGCACAAGGCTAGGCAAGCCTGCTGTGAACAAGTGCCGCCAGGCCTTAATCTCAAAAAGCTAAGGTTGTGTGGAAATAAGGTGTTTTCGTGGCTGAGG